TAGGAGATGTTAACTACCTCGCTTGGTGTACAGGAGGTCGTGGGCTCGATCCCGACCCTGATGCCTGCTGTATATTTCAGAGTTTGCGTGTCAACGTCACGCCTTTAGAGTATTGACTGCTGTACATTTCCACGTGATAAGCCACTTCGTTGAGCTATCATTTGTGGCCAGGTCGCTTCTGAAAAAAAAGCTCAGTGGGCTTTGCTTTCTAAAATTGTTTTTATTTTAATGGAAGGGCCGTTCTATGTGAACTCGAGAGAGGGCCCCCTAAGACCATTTGGCCGCCTCTTATACGCAGGCCAGACGTCTTGGACGAGGTGGGAGCGCTCGCTCTTCACCCCACCACACGCGGACCTGCCACTGAACTAACAGTGGCGCATCCCACGTGCATCCATACTGCCGGGTGGACAGAGGCCACGTGGGGATTTGAGAATCTTGCAGCGCCGCCGTTTCGCCCCCCGCCGCGGCGGGAGACGGGGCCGGCGATCTCTCTCGGACCGCCGGTCCGGCGTGCCACTGACCGCTCGTGACACCGCTATTGTGGCAGCATCCCGATTCCAATAGAGGCCACGACAAGCTTACTCTTCTCGCTTTGTGTAAATATTTACTGTGCAGTCGTTTACCCTACCTTGTAGCGTGGCTGTAAATCCGGCGACTCGTATAACATCAGCCCCAACATCGTCAAGTTTCGGAGAGGGTTCACACTGGGCCAGAACATGCCCAAATGATATCCTCAGAACGCCCGTGTGTCTTTTTTTTCTGCAGCCTAGGACTCCCCCCGTATAGCCTTAAGAGACTTTTGGGGCAAGTGCTGTTAAGCGAGCACGTGTGAAGGCCGGCATGGCACAGAAGGGGTGGGTGGACAGCAGCACGCCTTTGTCTCCCCAGTGGCGATGTTTATGCACCGCACCAGTTATTCATTTCAGGACCGTTCCTGATATCACCAATGTTGACTGTGAGTGGGTATCCAACTCATGTCGCCGGGGTTCGTAGGGCTGTGCGCTAACCGCTGCACTGCTGCTCCCCGTAATAAATAAACACACACGCGCGTACAACAACGAGAGGAAGTTCAAGTTTCCTTTCTAAAGTTTTGATTGTTTCGAGTTTTGATTCGTGGAAACATTTCCCAAAATCTCAGCTCACCCGCCGCGTGTCACGAATGGCCGACGTAAATGAGAACGTTCACCAGTCCGTGGGAATGGTGGTCACGTGGGAATGGTGGTCACGTGGGAATGGTGGTCCCGTGGGAATGGTGGTCACGTGGGAATGGTGGTCCCGTGGGAATGGTGGCCACGTGGGAATGGTGGTCCCGTGGGAATGGTGGTCACGTGGGAATGGTGGTCCCGTGGGAATGGTGGTCACGTGGGAATGGTGGTCCCGTGCGAATGGTGGTCCCGTGGGAATGGTGGTCACGTGCGAATTGTGGTCTCGTGGGAATGGTGGTCACGTGGGATTGATGGTCACGTGCGATTGATGGTCACGTGGGATTGGTGGTCACGTGGGATTGATGGTCACGTGAGAATGGTGGTCTCGTGGGAATGGTGGTCACGTGGGAATGGTGGTCTCGTGCGAATGGTGGTCCTGTGGGATTGATGGTCACGTGGGATTGATGGTCACGTGGGATTGATGGTCACGTGGGATTGGTGGTCACGTGAGAATGGTGGTCTCGTGGGAATGGTGGTCCCGTGGGAATGGTGGTCCCGTGCGAATGGTGGTCCCGTGGGAATGGTGGTCTCGTGCGAATGGTGGTCACGTGGGATTGACGGTCACGTGGGATTGATGGTCACGTGGGATTGGTGGTCACGTGGGATTGATGGTCACGTGAGAATGGTGGTCTCGTGGGAATGGTGGTCACGTGGGAATGGTGGTCTCGTGGGAATGGTGGTCCTGTGGGAATGGTGGTCCTGTGGGAATGGTGGTCACGTGGGATTGGTGGTCTCGTGGGAATGGTGGTCTCGTGGGAATGGTGGTCCTGTGGGAATGGTGGTCACGTGGGATTGGTGGTCTCGTGGGAATGGTGGTCCTGTGGGAATGGTGGTCCTGTGGGAATGGTGGTCTCGTGGGAATGGTGGTCACGTGGGATTGGTGGTCTCGTGGGAATGGTGGTCCTGTGGGAATGGTGGTCCCGTGGGAATGGTGGTCCTGTGGGAATGGTGGTCCTGTGGGAATGGTGGTCCTGTGGGAATGGTGGTCCCGTGGGAATGGTGGTCCTGTGGGAATGGTGGTCCTGTGGGAATGGTGGTCACGTGGGAATGGTGGTCTCGTGGGAATGGTGGTCTCGTGGGAATGGTGGTCCCGTGGGAATGGTGGTCCCGTGGGAATGGTGGTCCTGTGGAATGGTGGTCTCGGGCGTTGCTGAAGCAAGCCGGGGAGAATACGCAAGGCAAGGAAGCCGTCTCGCCGTATCTCCATGGCCACCCACGATGTCCGTGAGGAGATTCTCGGAACTCGGGAAGACAATTCCTGGACGAGTTCCATCTGTGTGGGAGGACCTGCACTTGGTCGCGGGCAGGGGATCAGCGGTTGATGGTGAGGGAGCTGTGAGCGGTGAGGTGGTGTGAGGGAGGTGTGGGTGAGGGAGAGGTGAGGGAGGGCGGGAGGGAGAGGTGGGGTGAGGGGTGAGGTGATAGAGGGGTTGGGTGAGGTGGGGTGAGGGAGGGGTTTGATGAGAGTGAGGGGTAGGGTGAGGGAGGAAGAGGCGAGGGATGGGTGGGGTGAGGGAGAGATGGGGTGATGGAGGGAGGGAGAGAGGGGTGGGGTGAGGGAGGGGTTGGGTGAGGGTGGGTGAGGGAGGGGTGTGGTGAGGAAGGGAGGGGTAGGGTGAGGGAGGGGTGAGGGATAGGTGAGGGCGCAATTAGAGCGATTGCCCTCACACTTGGGACCCCCCTAGATTCATATCCATGGGACCCCCTCGTGGTCGATGACCTCTCGTGGTAGATGATGACCTCTCGTGGTAAATGATGACCTCTCGTGGTAGATAACATCTCGTGGTAGATGACCTCTCGTGGTAGATGACATCACGTGGTAGATGACCTCTCGTGGTAGATAACCTCTCGTGGTAGATAACCTCTCGTGGTAGATGACCTCTCGTGGTAGATGACCTCTCGTGGTAGATGATGACATCACGTGGTAGATTACCTCTCGTGGTAGATGATGACCTCTCGTGGTAGATGATGACCTCTCGTGGTAGATGACCTCTTGTGGTAGATGACATCACGTGGTAGATGATGGCCTCTCGTGGTAGATGACCGCTCGTGGTAGATGATGACCTCTCGTGGTAGATGATGACCTCTCGTGGTAGATGATGACCTCTCATGGTAGATGACCGCTTGTGGTAGATGACCGCTTGTGGTAGATGATGACCTCTCGTGGTAGATGACCTCTCGTGATAGATGACCTCTCGTGGTAGATGATGACATCACGTGGTAGATGACCTCTCGTGGTAGATGATGACCTCTCGTGGTAGATCACATCACGTGGTAGATGATGACCTCTCGTGGTAAATGACATCTCGTGGTAGATGATGACCTCTCGTGGTAGATGACCTCTCGTGGTAGATGATGACCTCTCGTGGTAGATGACCTCTCGTGGTATATAACATCTCGTGGTAGATGATGACCTCTCATGGTAGATGATGACCTCTCGTGGTAGATGACCTCTCGTGGTAGATGATGACCTTTCGTGGTAGATGATAACCTCTCGTGGTAGATGACCTCTCGTGGTAGATGATGACCTCTCGTGGTAGATGACCACTCGTGGTACATGATGACCTCTCGTGGTAGATGATGACCTCTCGGGTAGATGACCTCTCGTGGTAGATAACATCTCGTGATAGATGATGACCTCTCGTGGTAAATGATGAACTCTCGTGGTAGATGACATTTCGTGGTAGATGATGACCTCTCATGGTAGATGACCTCTCGTGGTAGATGACCTCTCGTGGTAGATGACATCACGTGGTAGATGACATCACGTGGTAGATGACCTCTCGTGCACCGCAAGGCGACTCGGCACCTGATCTGCCAATGGCCGCTCGTTGCCCGGCTTGGCCTGCGACGTTTGACAGGCCTGCTGCAGGCGTTGTGGGCGGTGTTGCTCACGAGGCCCACAGGTAAATACAAACACACAGGCTGCGTTCAGCACATGTCTGCACGCCAGCTGTGTGTTTTCTACTGCAGCTAATGGCTCGTGAAGGAGTTGCATATTCCCCCATCCCTCCTAAACAAATGTTTTCATGGAGCAGTGAATAAGAGGAAACGTCGTAAACATCTGAATTGAGTGGGGTAGACATTTTAGTAGCGACATTTTGTATGTACGTGGCCATGACTAACATGTATGTATCGATGTTGAACTTCATGTATGTATGTTGAACTTCTTTCGCACCGTATGTAGCAAACTGTGATAATTATCAGAGGTGCGGATTAGTAGGGAGAGATAATTAGTCGGGAGAGATGATTGGAGGGAGTGATGATTACAATGCTCATAATATTCACTTTTTATGCACATTTTAACCAACGTTGAGTATATATGTTTTGTTTCAGGTTATGCAGGGAAACCAGAATAACCCAGAGAGGACGGATGTAAAACAGTGGGGGTGTGGGGGGTGTATTTATCCCGGTGAGCTATGAAGCTCTTTTTACACAGATGCCCAGTAGGGACAGGTTAGGGCTGTGGTTATGGATGGATGTTGAACTTCTTTCGCACCGCACGTAGCTAACCGTGCTAATTGGAGGTTGAGGTTTGAGTTGTTGCTTGGTTTGGTTTGCGTATCTGATTGGGTGGTTAGTTGGGTGGTTGGTTCAGTGATCGGGTGGTTGGCTGGGTGATGGCTTAGAAATCGATTGGTTTATTTGATCGGCTGAGTGATTGAGCGGGTTGGCTGGGTGGTTGGTTGGCTGAGTGAGTGAATAGTTACATGATTTGGGTAGCTGACTGAGTGACTGAGTTGCTGGCTGTTTTGTGGGTTGTAGACTAATGTAAGTTTCGCTCGTGTGCTCTAGGTACCCCAAGCTGGCGGCCAACAACCCCGAGTCAAACACAGCTGGGAGCGATGTCTTTGCCAAGTTTTCTGCGTTCATCAAGAACACGAGCAGTGCCAACAATGACGGTGAGTGGAACTCTGTCCACGTGTCTCTGTGTCTCTCTGTCCCTGTGTTCACATGTATGTGTCTCCCTGTCCCTGTGTACACGTGTCTCTGTGTCTCTCTTTCGCTGTGTACACGTGTCTCTGTGTCTCTCTTTCCCTGTGTACACGTGTCTCTGTGTCTCCCTGTCCCTGTGTACACGTGTCTGTGTCTCCCTGTCCCTGTGTCCACGTGTCTCTGTGTCTCCCTATCCCTGTGTCCACGTGTCTGTGTCTCCCTGTCCCTGTGTCCACGTGTCTGTGTCTCTCTGTCCCTGTGTACACGTGTCTCTGTGTCTCCCTGTCCCTGTGTCCACGTGTCTGTGTCTCCCTGTCCCTGTGTCCACGTGTCTGTGTCTCCCTGTCCCTGTGTACACGTGTCTCTGTGTCTCCCTGTCCCTGTGTCCACGTGTCTGTGTCTCCCTGTCCCTGTGTCCACGTGTCTCTGTGTCTCCCTATCCCTGTGTCCACGTGTCTGTGTCTCCCTGTCCCTGTGTCCACGTGTCTGTGTCTCCCTGTCCCTGTGTCCACGTGTCTCTGTGTCTCCCTGTCCCTGTGTACACGTGTCTCTGTGTCTCCCTGTCCCTGTGTCCACGTGTCTGTGTCTCCCTGTTCCTGTGTCCACGTGTCTCTGTGTCTCCCTGTCCCTGTATCCACGTGTATGTGTCTCCCTGTCCCTGTGTACACGTGTCTCTGTGTCTCCCTGTCCCTGTGTCCACGTGTCTGTGTCTCTGTGTCTCCCTGTTACCGTGTCTCTGTTGCATAATGCACAATGGCTGTGTGCTTTGTGGACATTTACGTGATGTTTTTACTCATTGCTATCCCGCCTGCACTGTTATTCTTTTATGATGCTGGGGTTTTCTCATCATTTACAAACTTCAATAACCAAGGGGATATCAATGGAGTGTTTGGCATGGGGCATGGGTGGTGGTGGTAAAACACTCAAGGGGAGGAATGTAACATTGAACATATACAGAGGTGGCCAACCAAATATATCACAACACCCAGCCCCCCACCCCATCAAATGTAACCCGGCGCTGTGTGGATGTACATGTGTGTGTGTGTACGTGTGTGTGTGTGCACGTGTGTGTGTGCACGTGTGTGCACGTGTGTGTGTTAAGGCTAGACGGGGGATCTTTGTCTTTGTGTGTGTGGAGAGCGGTGGTGCAGCGGTTAGCTCTACGCTGCGCGACGAACCTGGCCACCCGGGTTCAATTCCCGCTCACGGCCAAAACCAGTAACCATTATCTGAACCGTCCCTGGGCCTCCCCTAGGTCGACTCAGCCTCAAAATGAGTGCCTGGTGCGGTGTGTAAACATCGGCACTGTGGAGAGACAAAGGCGGTCGGGCGTGGTGCTGGCCGCCCACACCCCCTCGTGCGCCGTTGCCGGCCTTCATAGGTGCTGCTCGCTAACCGCACTTGCCCTCGCAGTCCGGTGGAGGCTATACGGGAGAAACCTTTGTCTTTTTTTTTGTTCTTTGGCTTTGCAGCGCTCGAGAAGGCGCTGCTGAAGGCGCTGGGCCGCCTGGACGACTTCCTCGTGACTCCGCTGCCGGACGAGGAGGCGGTGGAGGGCGAGGACGGAACGCCCCGCACGAGCTCCACCCGCAGCTTCCTGGACGGAGAGCGGCTCACACTCGCCGACTGTAACCTGCTGCCCAAGCTGCACACCATGCAGGTGGGGCGACACGGACACGCGGCTCGCTCGCACGCGGAAGGTCCCCTCCCCGGAGCCCTCAACAGATCGTACATCAGTCAATTTCTACCCCCTCTCTTACACTGACAAGACTAGTGGTTGGAGTGGGACTGTTTTTGCTGTTGTTTTACTGCCTTCTTCAAGCGCGGGAATTGATGTACGACTGCTATTTCAACTTAATGGGCACCATGGTGGCGTGATGTTATCGTCCTCGCCCGGTATGCAGGAGGTCGGGGGTTTGATCCCGGCCCTGACGACTGCTGTGTATCAGTACTTTCAATGTCCTCCCCGTGGTCGTGTGGATTATTTATCCACGTCCTCCGGTTTTTCCCTCCACACTTAGAAACGTGGACCTAGATTATTGAGATAATTTTGCTTCTATTAATGTCCACATGATAAGACACTTTGTTGAGCTATCATTTGTGGCCAGGTCACTTCTGAAAAAGAAGTCAATAGCTCAGCGAGCTTCACCTGATGCAATAAAAATAGTTGAGTTTTATTTGTATGCTTTTTGGTGATTTTTTTTAACCTTTCCTATACTTTCCACTCCCGTCGTGTTGTATTGGTTGTTCCTGTAACGTTCTGACCCCGTGCCCCTACTGGACATCTGTAAAAAAAAGAGCTTTATAGCTCATCAGATTCCTCCACTATATAAAAACTAAAAAAATATTATTCGTATTGTCTCTGTGCTCGTGCAGGTCGTTCTGAGGAAGTTCAAGGGAATGGAAATCCCCGCGCAGTTCACGGGGATTGCGCGGTACCTCAAGCACGCGTGCGCGCAGCCAGAGTTCACCGACACGTGCCCGGCCGACGGCGAAATCGAGGCGGCCTACACCTCCGTGGCCCGGCCCCTCGCATAGACGCGGCGCGGCACGGCGCCACACGGCACGGCACGGCGCCGCACGGCACGGCGCCACACGGCACAGCACGGCGCCACACGGCACGGCACGGCGCCACACGGCACGGCACGGCACGGCGCAGCACGGCGGGTGTAACGGCCACTCCCCCTCACTCCTAACGCGTTGCAGCATCAGCTCTGTCCCTGGTTTTCCACCGGTGACCATTCCAGACATGTCTCTCGCTCAGCACTAGGCCTATTCACATTTGTGCAGCGTACTGTAATAGCCATCAACGCGATGTACGTACGGATGTAGAACTTCTTTCGCGCCGTACGTAGCCAACCGCGCTAATCGGAGGTGCGGGGTAGGACAGTAACATATCGGCCACGGAGGCATTGTCGGACATTGAGTCGTCGCACGTTCCACGGCTCAACGTCAACCAACGTTGGTCCAACGTTTGCATCTGCCTGACTGCCATACTCGTTTCTTTGTAACTGCCATACTTGTCAATCTCCGTTTAAACTAAACTATAAACTAATTTTTATTTTCCAGGTAAGGCCCACTGAGCTGTATAGCTCATTTTCAGAAGTGACCTGGCCACAAATGATAGCTCAAAGAAGTGGCTTAGCATGTGGACATTTATAGCAGCCAAATACTCTAAAAGCGCGTCGATTCTAAATGTGGAGGGAAACACCGGAGGACTTGGAGAAAAATCCACGCGACCACGGGGAGAGACAGAGACACGCAAACTCCAAATATACAGGAGGCATCAGGGTTGAGATCGAACCCACGACCTCCTGTACACCAGGCGAGGTAGTTAACATCTCCTAGCCACCGTGATGATGAGAGAAAGACATGCAAACTCCAAATATACAGCAGGCATCAGGGTTGAGATGGAACCCACGACCTCCTGTACACGAGGCGAGGTAGTTAACATCTCCTAGCTACCGTGATGATGAGAGAAAGACATGCAAACTCCAAATATACAGCAGGCATCAGGGTTGAGATCGAACCCACGACCTCCTGTACACGAGGCGAGGTAGTTAACATCTCCTAGCTACCGTGATGATGAGAGAAAGACATGCAAACTCCAAATATACAGCAGGCATCAGGGTTGAGATCGAACCCACGACCTCCTGTACACGAGGCGAGGTAGTTAACATCTCCTAGCCACCGTGATGATGAGAGAAAGACATGCAAACTCCAAATATACAGCAGGCATCAGGGTTGAGATCGAACCCACGACCTCCTGTACACCAGGCGAGGTAGTTAACATCTCGCGATGGTGACGCCCACTTGAGTGTCTTCACGGGAGCCTGCTACGTGGGGAGCACGCGCCCCAAAGTCAATTTAAAGTTTGTTTTCTCACGAGCAGAGAGTCACATGAGTGTCGTGGCAGTCGGATGCAACGCAGCCGAGGTGCGAGTCGACAAGTTAAGAGGCTGAAAAATAAGAAAATGTTTTACCCCTTTCTGGCAATTAAACAGAAGTTGTGTTAAGATGTTCAAAGGCCAAACATTGAGCAAGGACTCAAGTACTCACCACACACATCAACCAAACGCGGTACTTGTGGCGAACATGCAAACAAACACGCTATGATGATAATAATAATATGTGGCATAGTCTTTGAAACCGTTTGGCCTACACTATAAACAGCAGCTTCTTCGTGGCCTTGTCTCACCGGTGTCAGAGCAGAGAACAACGCCAACATGTGAACGGATAAGAGCCGTGTGGTTTTTGTTTGCGCTCGTTACGATGTCCCTTCAATACACACATTTAATCCACGCTGGCACCTGCGCCAATAATCACAATTCCGACTGACAGAGCTGTCCGTTGTGTATGTTGAACTTCTTTCGCACCGTACGTACGCCGACCGTGCTAATCGGAAGTGCTGCGTTTGAAGCTACATCGTTAGCGTGTTATGAAGGAGGGCCACGTTGCCCAGAAACGTTGCTTTGTTACACATTCTTCCTTTGAAGGCGACACACAGCGTTACTTGCTGATCCGCCCAGACTGGACATCTGTGAAAAAGAGCTTCACAGCTCATCGGATTCCTCCTCCCCAAGTCTAAATAAAACATTCCGATTCAGTCCCATTGTTGTTGTTGAAGAGCGTGTTGAGTTGTTTATTGTGAGCTGATGCTTGCGCACCGCTGCCACCGCAGCTTCTCCTTTCGCATGGATTCAGAGCGGCAGGTTAAAGATGTAAGGATCTTTGCGAGGACATCTGTCTCCGCTCGGGATAGGCCCTCTACATGTCGCTGGCAAGGACGAACCGAGGGGTCCGATGGGTCGGCTCGTCTGGCCCTGAGGAGGACCTTTCTTGCCAGGCTTGTGGTTTCTGCATGGCGACGTTACGCTTGGTTTCCTTAGCGATGTCGTCCGTTACGAAATTCGTCGTTGAACTTTGTTTGCCGCAACCGTGTGGGGACGCGAGAAGGCTGACAGCACCCCACCCCATCGCAACAGCCGCAACAGCGTCACCAGCTGTCGTGTCGCATGTGTAGTGTAACAGCGCCGGCTGGTGGACAGCAGCGGCAGCTGTGGTGGACAGAGAGCGCACACGCCGGTGAGGGCGTGCACGGGGTGTGGGCAGAGCGGAGGAACTGGGGCAAGGGTCACGGAGGACCCCGTCTGGAGGCCCCTGGAACCTGCTGGAGGGTTCGAGAAGGGAGGCGCGGTCAGGGCGGGGCCAGGCCGCGCTGGGAGCATAAAAGGAGCCGAGAGCGGGGGGCTCGAGGCTGCCGGTGCTGGGCGTGGACTCGTCTCGTCGTCGCTAAACGTCCCCGCTAGATATTGAGCTACGAAGCAGAGTCGTTGGCTATCTCAGTCAGCGCCGTCAGTGCTAGACATCCGGTGTTGTGTACAGGCTGGGCTGTGCTACTGTGGAGAGTGTGTGGATGAGACCGTGAATGGTGGTAAATAAAGAAGGTGCCTCCTACAAACCTTGTCTCCGAATCATTGACACTACACATTTATTGAACATTGTGGCAGTCTTTTGAAAGGGGGCCCTTTTCTCACAGTTGGGGCGGGGCGGTCAGGTGGGAAAAGATTTACATTCGAAGTGGCTTACGGGTGGCAAGGAGCAGTATTGATTCGGGGGGTTATTTCTGATATCGTAAAAAAGGATTTTTTTTTACAAAAGCCATTGTATATCCATGCTGATGCGCTGGGTGAGTGCAATGCTGCACGATATAGGCAACCACAGATGTTGGAAACTGAAAAGTCAAGTTGTACCATCTAACGTTATGGATATGCGCCTATGCCAAGGATTGTAACAGGCTGCTGACCGAGGCTTGGATCTCAATGTTGGTGTCTAAGCACATTTAGCAAATGTATTGCCATGTGTGTGAGTGTGTACGTATGTATACGTGTGTGTTGTGTTTGGGGACCGTTGGCGCAGTGGTTAGTGCGCTGCGCTACGGACCCGGCCACCCGAATTCGATTCCTGCTCACGATCAATAACAGTGACAGCGAATATTTTAATAGTCCTGGGTCTCCCCTAGGTCGACTCTGCCTTAAATGAGTACCTACTGCGGTGTGTAAACATTGCCGCTCAGGAGACAAAGACGGCCGGGCGTGGTGCTGGCCACCCAACCCCATCGTGTGCCGTGCCGGCCTTCATAGGTGCTCGCTAACAGCACTTGCCCCAACAGTCTATAAGGCTATACGGGGGATCTTTGTCCTTGAACACGTATGTGTTTGTGGTGGTGCAGTGGTTCGTGCACTGTTCAACTCAGCAAATAAATGTTTGTCGTGTGATGTGTTTACCTTTGCTATAGTTTGCACTGCTATCGTGATATTCTATTGTTGTAACGTTATGACCCCCCCCCCCTACTGGAGATCTGTGCAGAGTAGATTTATAAACGATGGGGCCACGCTTCGTTCTGTTTTTCTTAACTAAATTTTATTTTACCATGTAAGGGGCCGCCCATAAATGACGTCACGCACATGGGGGGCGGGGGGGTCAGATATTTGTGACGATGTGTGACGAGGGGGGGGGGGTGAGAAATGTGACGTCACATCAAAACGCGCAACTTTAAATATAGACAACACGATCTACTGAATTAAATAGACTTTTTAATAAAAGTTTTCTCCTACAACATCAGAGTGCGGCGCCACATTAAATACGCGCGAGTTTAAAGCGATTTTAAGCATTTTTTTATATTTGGGGGGGGGGGGCAGAGCTTTGTGACGTCATATTTGAGGGGGGTCTGCCTTTTTGTGACGCCGTGTGACGAAGGGGGGGGGGGTCAAGAATCGTCCAAAATCGCGTGACGTCATTTATGGACGACCCCGAAGGCCAACTGAGCTATGCAGCTTCTTCTTCAGAAGTGACCTGGCCACAGACGCGAGAAGCGGCTTATCACGTGGAAAGTGACAGCTGCCAAAGACTCTAAACGCGCGATCTTGGTTCTAAATGTGGAGGGAAAAACGGAAGACCCGGAGGAAAATCCACGCGACCACGGGGAGAGCGAGAGACACCGAAAAACTCCGAATACACAGCAGCAGGCGTTAGGATCGGGATCGAACCTATTACTTCCTGCACACCAGCGGCGCCCCATTACGCCTATGCCAGCCTCGGTAACCGGCCCTGCCTCATTACTCACACATCCTTTGCCACGCTTGGCCGAATCATATATACAACCTATCTTTAGGCGTTGAAAACATGTTAAACATATATATATTTTTGTTACCATCACGAATATGCTTTGATAATACAATAAACCTGCCAGTCAGTCATAGGCAGAGGAAGAGAGGACAAGGCTTAATCCTGGACAGGGGGACACAGTGGACATCACGGACAGGGGGGAGGAGCGAGATCTAAAGACTGCGGGCAGCAGAAGACAAGAAGGCGCACGACGGCGAGCTCCCCCTGAGCGAAAGTCTGGGAGCTTCCACAGAAAGCCCTGGTGGCTGTAGCAGGAGAGAGCGTGGAGGGGAGTGGAGTGAGATGAGAGGGGAGAGGTAGGAGAGTGGGTGGAGGGGAGTGGAGTGAGATGAGAGGTAGGAGAGTGAGTGGAGGGGAGTGAGATGAGAGATGAGAGGGAGAGTGGGTGGAGGGGAGTAGAGTGAGATGAGAGGGGAGAGGTAGGAGAGTGGGTGGAGGGGAGTGGAGTGAGATGAGAGGGGAGAGGTAGGAGAGTCGTGGAGGGGAGTGGAGTGAGATGAGAGGTAGGAGAGTGCGTGGAGGGGAGTGGAGTGAGATGAGAGGTAGGAGAGTGCGTGGAGGGGAGTGAGATGAGAGATGAGAGGGAGAGTGGGTGGAGGGGAGTAGAGTGAGATGAGAGGGGAGAGGTAGGAGAGTGGGTGGAGGGGAGTGGAGTGAGATGAGAGGGGAGAGGTAGGAGAGTCGTGGAGGGGAGTGGAGTGAGATGAGAGGTAGGAGAGTGCGTGGAGGGGAGTGGAGTGAGATGAGAGGTAGGAGAGTGCGTGGAGGGGAGTGGAGTGAGATGAGAGGGGAGAGGTAGGAGAGTCGTGGAGGGGAGTGGAGTGAGATGAGAGGTAGGAGAGTCGTGGAGGGGAGTGGAGTGAGATGAGAGGTAGGAGAGTGCGTGGAGGGGAGTGGAGTGAGATGAGAGGAGAGAGGCAGGAGAGAGCGTGGAGGGGAGTGAGATGAGAGGAAGAGTGGGTGGAGGGGAGTGGAGTGAGATGAGAGGGGAGAGGCAGGAGAGAGCGTGGAAGGGAGTGGGCAGGTACAGCACTTGTCGTAGTTATAAAAAAAAGAGAGAGCGAGAGAGTGAGCGAGAGAGAGCGAAATGGAGTAGGAAGAGAGGGGGGGCAGAGAGGGGGGCAGAGAGAGAGGAGGGGCAGAGAGGGGGGCAGAGAGAGAGGAGGGGCAGAGAGGGGGTAGATAGAGAGGAAAGGGGTAAGGAGAGCAGAAAAAATAACAAAAACTATTTTGTTGGGTCTTTCATTTAAAAGGGGGGGGGGGGTTTACATAAAGCAAAAACATAAACAAAAACAAACCGAAATGATGAACGGAGCAAAGTGCCGACCACACCGAGCATCTTCTTGTTTACTCTGATCGTAAACAAAAGAGAGATGAGAGGGGAGAGGCAGGGGAGTGCGTGGACGGGCGTGGAGATGACGTCATCCTCTTCTCGGCGGGACTCGTGACGTCAGGCCGCGAGTTGCAAAAGGCGTGACGTCATGGTCGTTTGAACCGAGACGCGTCGCTGCGTCACGTTGTGCGCGACGCCGTCACTGTGCTCGGCATGGCCTCCACACGAGGCCGCGAGGTGGCGACCGCTGCTCTACGACTGCTCCGTTGGTTCGTGTGGGGAGGAGGAGGAGGGGATCACCTCATCATCGCCTCGCCATCAGCAGCTACAACCTCGTCGTCATTACACACACACACGCCAGCACCGGTTACGCCTCGCCAACAATACCGCATGAACAACACAGAGGTCATCCTCAGCGGCGACAAAGCCTCTGGTACACCGTCAGGGAAAGTGCTGTTAGCGAGCACATATGAAGGCCGGCACGGGGCTGTGTGCGGCCAGCACCACGCCCGACCGCCTTTGTCTCCCCAGTGGCGATGTTTTCATCGCGCTTAGGGGTATTGATTTTGAGGCTTAGTCGACCTAGGGGAGGGCCTAGGATCGGTTGAGATAAGAGCGTCACATTGATGTTGGCCGTGGACGGGATTCGAACTCGGGTCGCCGGGTTCGCAGTGCAGTTCGCTGACCGCTAACTCTACCACCGATGGCCACATCGCCTCCTCATTGTACGCTCGCTCGCTACACTTCAGCAGCAGTAAACGACACCACAGAGGTCACCCGCGCCGTTATCGGCAGCAATGGTCACTCCACTCGCCACCGATGTTCGCCTCGCTAACTTAATACGTTATCCACACGTCAATTGTACATTTGCAAGTCCTCCGCGCGTTGAGCTGTACACACACTGTCTCATCGTCATCGTATACAAATATCGTTACTGTACGTTGAACTTTTTTCACACCATACGTAGCCAACCGTGCTCGTCGGAGGTTAACTTCATTCCACCCACGCCGTCAGCGCACATCGCAACAAGTAGTTACACCTCATCAAGTTACACCTCGTCAAGTTACACCTCGTCAAGTTACACCTCGTCAAGTTACACCTCATCAAGTTACACCTCATCAAGTTACACCTCTTTGATTTAAAGCTTTCGTGACTGCAGTAATTCATATTCTTAGTTTTTTCGGTAAAGTCACGTTGAAGAGAAACAACAAAAAAACTAAGAATAAGTTACACCTCGTCAAGTTACACCTCATCAAGTTACACATCAATTTACACCTCATCAGCTTAAACCTCATCAACTTAAACCTCATCAAGTTACACCTCGTCAAGTTACCTCATCAAGTTACACCTCAACAACCAATTCAGCTCGTCATCAGATTTATATAATCAACCACAATACATCGTAATCATAATCCATTACAAACCTTTGTAAACACCTCATCATCTTAGTTACATAAAAACAAACGCATCTGCTGCATAACATCACCACTACCTCACGATCAATGCGCATATTTACACTCGCATCAACTATACCTCATCAACAAATTACAACGAGGAAACTGCACCTCATCGTATACACAATCGTCAAGTTATCAGTCATCAACTACACGCGTGGTTAACAATACCTCGTTACTTACATCTCATTACAAACATTACCGCCTCTACAACGGAACCCGAACCACTGCACACCTAATCAACTACAACGATAGCTCATTTGCAACAACTCAACAACACTATCAACACCAACAACATTGATAAACACCAACAACATTGATCAACACCAACAACATTGATAAACACCAACAACATTGATAAACACCAACAACACATCATCATAAACACCATCATTAACTAACCACAGACCTCATCAACCCGCACCTAATACACAAACGCCTGCTTTATACCTAAATATACAACATTAAAGACCTTATAATAATGCCAAACATCTTGCCAACAACACCACAAGGCCAGCCAAACTCATCTCGTAACCATCACACGAGCCTGGTCAGCACCAAGCACCTCATTATCACCGCGCTCATGTTTTATTGTAAACCCACTTGTAATGTAAGACTGGCATTGAGCGGAACTGGATTTTGCTTTGAGCCACGTGAAGAAATGCAATTTATTATATATTTATATGTTATATATTATATATTTTGCTTTTGAAGGCCACATTGTTATTTACAAATGTATTATGTTTTTTGTTAATTGGCTTTTTTCACCACTGCCAATATAGACATGTATGTTGAACGTCATTCGCACCATACGTAGCCCACCGTGCTAATCGCTTTGTTGCGAAGTGTTTGAAGTAGGGGATACGACACTTTAAACGTGTCTCCAATTATGTAATTAGCAATGATACTCGGATATCTTTGGTGGGCCTCGCATTAGTTGAAACTACATTTGGATCAGGCCTGTACTACCCATCATTAATTGCTGAGGACTAGATGAAAATAAAAGGTGATTGAGCACGTTAATATTAGAAAGTGTTGCCAGGTTGGAAATATTGTCCCGTAGTATGTATGTTGAACTCCTTTCGCACCGTGCGTAGCCACAACCGTGCGAATTTAAGGTGTATTGTAACGTTCTTACCCCGTACCCCCACTAGACATCGGTGAAAAAAGAGCTTTATAGCTCATCTGATTCCTCCAGTGTAAATATTCTGATTCTGAATGTAGATGTATGCCATGACAAATATACTGTGCGGACCGTGTTGAAGTGGTCGGCCCCGATGTGGCTGTGCACCATATGAAGTGAAGTCACAGACCGGATGTGTCCCACGGGACGTGTTCTCCACCCCTGTCACCAAAGCGTGACTTCTGCTCTTTGCTCAAACGTAGGTCCGTGCTGCTGCCTCCCAAGCGCAGCTTCCACGTCTGGGCACGCAGGCTGCTGGGCCCTCACCTGCTGGGGACTGTCGGGGCCTTGGCAGGAGCCTCCCTCTGTGCTGTCCCAGTCCTCCCTGTATGACCCAACACACAGACACATACACACGCGAGCACCACAGTGTCTAAACTAAGCTAAAAGCTAAACTTTTATTTATTTTACCAGGTAAGGCCCACTGAGCGATAAAACTGTTTTTTCAGAAGCGACCCGGCCGCAATTGGTAGCGCAACGAAGTGGCTTATCATGCAGAAGTTTATTGCAGCCAATTACGATTTTAAATGTGGAGGGAAAAACTGCAGGACCCTGATAAAAATCCAAAAGACCACGAGGAGAACATGCAAACTCCAAATATATAGCAGTCAGGGTCGGGATTGAACCCACAACCTCCTGTATACCAGGCGAAGTAGTTATCATCTTGCCACCATGGCACGCAATGAGGTGACATGTTTGCCAGTGAGGTCACGATGGCTCTCTACGTGAATTTTTATGGCATTTTTTGGTTTCCTTACACACGCAGTCCATTCCTTAAAATGGAATTGAACACACACCTCCAATACAGGGCCCTCGTGAAAGCCTTCAAGTTCATTGCAGCAATCCTTGATGACTGATCAGTGACATCGGTCAGTCAGCTATGAACTTTTCAGGTTCTGAGGACAATGGGATTCATCAGTTACGGCATTCCAATTATTTATTTCATTTAGTGCCATGTATTCATATAACAATTATTTGAAAAATCAGTACAGATAAATTAGATGTCCATTTTAAAAGAGTATCCTGTTCAGGTACAGGATAAAACCATATACTTCCTATAAAGTTTGCATAATAAATGCATTTAGTCCATACTGAAAAATATTGCAATCGAAAATAATCTACACATGATGGACAATATCCCATTCATCAGTTGGAATCAGGAGGCTATTGTAAATAAAAATACATCGTGTATTGTTACAGAAGGTAATGACTGCTAAAGCGAAATATATATAAAAAACAAAAGGATTACTCATTTAATGTGATTTAAAAGTGGCATTTTTTATTTGACTAAGTTGATTAATTGCCCTCAATGAAACTCAGGGATTGCCTAGTCTGGTAGTAGGGTTGATATGAACTAACTAATAAGTCAATTTGACTACGTACCTGTGTATATTATCTGCTTCACAAATCATGCGTGCCACTGTACGTGTGGTGCATGTTCACACATGGTGTGTATGTGTGTGTCTCAGTGCAGGTAAGGTGATCTGCTGTTAACTTCGTAATTTCCTGACTGTTGTCAGCATGTTCGTACTCTATATACCTGTGGTAATTTATCAAGCTTCTATGTAAACATAAACATTGGGGAGACAAAGACAGCCAGACGTGGTGCTGCCCACCCCCTTGTGCGCCATATAGGCCTGAATAGGCGCTTGTTAACGGCACTTGGCACAACAGTCTTCAAGGTTACTCGAGGGATCTTTGTCTTTTAGCATGTGTATTAATGTTTGGCATGTAATAATTCACTCTCCTGATTAACCGGATGGTCATGAGTCAGTTTACTTCTCATTTGTTTGCACGGTCTTGTTTGTATTGTCTGCCTCTTCTACCTTTGTTATGTGTGCCTAATGCTAAATTATGGTTCTTATTTGCAAGATTTAACCCATATGTCATGAGCAAACAAATGTTTTGAGTGATTCCATGTCAACTCAATCGGAGTTACCCACCTCAAGATTTTACTTATATGTTACGTTGAGGCAGTGGCGTGGCCCAGTGGTTAACGTTCACCGCTTTTTGCAGAAATTCACAGTTCGAATCCGACAGGTGGCCCTGGTTAATATTGCAGATGTATTAACCGGAAGATACTACACGCCTTCTGCTTCACAGTGGATGAAAAGTGTAGGCTATTGTGTGCCGTTGTCATTGTCAAATTTTTTAATGTTACCTGCAGAATACTTAATTGGATTGCATATTTAGTAACATGGGCCCCTATTGTGAAACTACTTCAGACTACGATTGTCTGTGAACACAATGCTTTCGTGAAAGCATTGCACCATAACAATGGTGCGAATACCAAATGTACTAAATTATTAAATGAAAAAAATGTATGAAACCAGGACAAATATGTAAGCACAGTAATTCATATTTACTGAGATACCCTTTTCTAGTAGGTCTGGGTCAAACACTTGAAATGCATCTCGTTTCAAAGTGATTTTTTTGTCAATGGTATTCATAATGACAGCACCTACTGTAAATTGATTAATTGTTACCTGTGTCATGAATGCGTGGCAACACAGATCCCTGAGGCAAACTCTCTGAGTCAAGAGACACTGCTTAAAAGGGCCGCCTCCTTGGCCACAGATGGAGCCACTGCCTTTCTCTCTCAGGCCGCGCTGGCCCTCTTGGATTCCCTCGACAGATACACCAAGGCACGTTGGCGTCGTAGCACTTGCAACACAACCATTGGTTGGGCGGTGGTGATGTGGCCCAGCGGTGGCGCATTCGCCGCTTGATATAGAGGCGGCGTGCCACGGTGGCGAGATGTTAACTACCTCGCCTGGTTTACAGGAGGTTTAAGGGTTCAGTTCTGACCCTTGATGCCTGTTGTATATTTGGAGTTTGCATGTTCTTCCCATGGTTACATGGATTTTTTCTCCGGGTACTCCTGATTTTCCGCCCACATTAAGATTCAATATGCGTTTCGAGTAATTGGCCGCTGTAAATTTCCACATGATAAGCCACTTGGTTGAGCTATCAGTTGTGCCCAGGTCGCTTCTGAAAAAGAGCTACTGTATGTAGCTCAGTGGGCCTTACCTGGTAAAATAACAAATAGTTTAGTTTTTGGTTTACGGTTCAAATATAGCACCGATAATTATTACTGTGGGTGTAGTAACCATAATATACTGCTTCACTCACCGTTAAAGATCCCCTGACGTCATTCACAAGAGTCGGCGTTGGGGTCCAAATTTGAAAATGATCCGCAAATTATTCAATTGAGACGGTACACAGCAATATTTGCCCCTTATTAGCAAACTCATGCCCCGTGTCAATCTTGCAAAGGACTGATCCCGGTCTCTCGGGTTCTGACCTTGTTAAACAAGTAAATGGGAAACATTCCAGCTTGTTTCCATTTTTCAAGTGATTCGAAGTCACATGCACAGCTTGCGTGGAGATGCCATGTATAGTTTCCTGTTAGAATGTCAAATAATGGTTGTTGAGCACAAAACCCACAACAACGAGCGGCTGGCAACAAAGAGCACTGACGAAGTGGTAAATAATAAGCGTGAGTGCATTTGCTTTCTTGAATTGAGCCAAGGACATTATGATTTTGGGAAGAGAGAATGGGAGGGAATTCTAAAGTGGAGCAGTGCGAGGACAGAAGCGCAAAGAGAAGTGTTGTGACCAGCAAGTGTGGTGGTTGTACGCAGCATGGATTAGAAGAAACGCATGTACTTGCGTGTGCTTATCTCTGTGTGTGTGTGCTGGCGAGCAGGCCTTACACACGATGGGATCGCTTTCGCAGCAGTACGTGGACCTGATGGCCCAGCTCAGCTCGAAGGACGAGGAGTCTGTCTGGAACCTTATTGTTGAAGCTCGCTCAGAGGTAATGATAATAACAACAATGCAATTCTTAACACACGCAATATTTCACAGACATAAATTACTCTGAGGCGTAGAGCCAAGCTCCCTGTCGCTCAGAAAGCCAGACGAGAGATGTGGAGCCTTAAAGTGTCTCTTAAAAGTGTATGTAGATTGAATGCTGTTGTGAATGTGCATCAGTGGGGATGATGATGGCCACGTTCCAGATGGCGGAGGCTGCCACAGAGAAGCGACGGCTGGCAGTGAAGGTCCTGGTCCTTGGTGTAGAGGAGGAGGAAGTTTTGAGTTGCGCTGCCGTGGAGAGTTCTCCCGTGAGCCGTAGTGCAGGGTGATGAGAGAGGAGAGATAAAGCGGACGACCAAAACCAGAGGTGTGGTGGCACTGGCAGGTGATCCATGGTGGAAGAAGGGCCATTTCCCAAAATATCACTTATTTTATATTTTTCATTATAAGGTCACAATGTGGTTGACGAATGTGTTGATGAATCAGGATCTTTATTTAGATGCAGGAGGAGGAATCTGATGAGCTGTGAAGCTGTTTTTCACAGATGTCCAGTAGAGGCGGGTTAGCAAGTTAAACAGCAAACATAAATACATGATTTGAGTGCAAAATAGAGATGGTAAGCAAGTCACTCGATCTAAATACAGACAATAAGTCTGATTTATCAAGCTTGGGAAAGGCAGCAAAATAAAACAGTCCCAGACCACAGCAAGATAACACAACACAGTAGTAATCCCTCAATACAACGGCACATTAACATTGCATTTTCGATACACAGTTAAGGATCAAAGTTACATATCACATTGGCAAATGTGACCTTATTCAGCAGTAATCTTTGGATATTTTTTCAAAGGAACATTTCACGACGTTACTTCACAATGCACCACTGCCGTCGTGAAATAATCTGTTGTGATGCCGCAGGTCATCCGGCGGCAGGATGAGTGTCAGAAGATGGAGGAGACGTGGACTGCGGCGCTGTACCTCTCGAAAGGGGCAGCCGAAGCTGCCTTCAAAGCAGGTGCCCTCTGCTGCCACCCGCCCTCTGCACACTCCCCCCAACAACAACTACCGCCATTCGCCACTAAGTGGCGGTGACGTCACCACGGCACTTGTGCCAGGCTATGTGGACGTGAAGGCCACGTGAAGCAGGAGGTCACGGGGGACACCGTGCAGGTGCCATGGGTTCACTGACTGAGGTGACGAAGTACTACGAAACTTTGTGGAAACAAATTCAACACTCTCCCCCACCACCTGCAGAGAAAATATGGGCTGTGGCGACTCAGATCTTGCATACGTCTCAAAAATTCCCCTGATAGCCAATTTTATGCAGGTGGCCAAATTGATGTGGTTTTCTTGTCTTCTTACCAAAGGGCCCTCTAGCCATCTGAGTCGACTTTGCGCTTATCTAAGATGGGTACCAAGCATCATTCTTGCCTTCTTCCTTGTCTCTCCATATCTGACCCAATGCAGAATCAGAATATGTAATTATCAATGGAGAAATCCAATAAGCTATGAAGCTCTTTTTCACAGATGTCCAATACGGGTGGGTCAGGAAGTTACAAAAACAAACAATACAGACAACGTCATTAGACCTCCTTTGCCAGTACCAAAATGTAATAATAGGGTTTTTCCCCTTTTTTCTGGCAACAAAACTGAAACCTTTTTATAAGGATTCATGTCTGCATTAACCACAATACCTGAAGTCAAAATGCAAACAAAAAACATACTATGATATTATATGCATTGTCCTTGAAACTGATTGGTCCACACCAAGGGACAGCTTTCTTTTGCCATCATCTGGTCGAGCACCAATTGGGTCGAGGCTCAAAAGAAAGCCGTCCCTTGGTGTGGACCAATCAGTTTCAAGGACAATGCATATAATATCATAGTATGTTTTTTGTTTGCATTTTGACTGCAGGTATTGTGGTTAATGCAGACATGAATCCTTGTAAAAAAAACGGTTTCAGTTTTGTTGCCAGAAAAAAAGGGGAAAAACCCCTATTATTACAATACAGACAACGGTCGGAGTGCAAAGTATAGGAAAATAAAACAAATCACAAAAATGTAATATCTAAAATAGATAAAGTATATTGCATAAAACTTGATTTGAAGCTTTTCGTGACTGCAGGAATTACTCTTTGGTTCTTTCGGTAAAGTCACGTACAAAGAAAATAAATTAAATTATAGAATACGACGTTTCGATTGCAACACAAGCAATCGTCATCAGGTAGAAAACAAACCTAGCGAACTTAGAAATATAATGCAATACAACACAGAGAGTCGGCTAACATAACAGTCAATACACTACCTGGTTGATTACGTTCTTCCAAAGATTGCTACATTTGAGAGAGACAAAACACAAACACGGAGACACACAGACAGACACGCAAGCAGAGAGAGACAACACAGAGACACACAGTGTCTATGTTTCGTCTCTCTTAAATTTAGCAATCTTTGGAAGAATGTAATCAACCAGGTAAGGTGCTGACTGTTGTGTTAGCCGACTCTCTGCGTAGTATTGCATTGTATTTCTAAGTTCATTAGATTTGTTTTCTACCTGATGACGATTGCTTGTGTTGAAATCGAAACGTCGTATTCTATATTACATAAGTACACCAATTCCCCAGCTTAAGCAAGGCAGCAAAACAACATCAAAGACAGTCGTAAAAAATGCACATTAAAATGTTACTATCGATACATGGCACAGGATGAAAGTGACAAATCACACTTGCAAATGATTGTTGTATCCATCACTAATCTTCTGCTTAAGGATGCATTTTGAAGGAAGATTTACGACGTTATAGAAGGAAACAATGTTGTTCCGAAAGGTTGGTGCTGCAACGGCAAAGGTTTTATGGCCTTTTCATTTTCTTGCTCTAGGGATAGTTAAAAGGCAATTAGATGGACGTCTTATGCTTTTTTAGTTTGACAATGGGGTTAATGGATTAGCCATGTATCGCGCAGATTTGCCAATCCAGTCTTATGATCCCTGAGATCCATCTCACCATACTAATTTGGTGCACAACATCAACTGCAGCTTGTTTTTTAATTTACCCTTTTAATATTCGAGCACATACTTGGTACTGATGATAACCCTATGAGACCCTAGTGCCGGTAGAAAACCTGAAACTCTACAATTGCTCGTGTGTTCTCTGCCAGGTGTGGAAATGGCGGCAAAAGTAGCACTCACTCACCTGCAACTGCTGCAGGAGCAGTTGGAGGAGGCTCATGCCCTGGCCAGGGCGGCTGAGACGAAGGTGGCCAAGGTGCAAGTGGGTGAGATCCAGCGCACAGCATTGCTGGCAAAGCAGAAGGAGGCCGGCAGCAAGGGTTCCTCCCCGCAGGTCAAATCCTCTCAGCCCGCGTACCTGCAGGAAGAGGAACTCCCAGAGCAGTACCTTCGTGAGGATTGAGCCAGAGGTCGCCCGGTGGCTTAGGGAAGCTAATGTCATGCACGTCAATATGTGTAGAGTCAGAGGTTAATATAGATTCTTTTTTTTCACAATTTAGGCGAATTATATGCAAATGACGGGGGGCGCGGTGGGGCAAGTGATCAGCGTGCTGCGCTGTGAACCCGAATAGCTTGAGTTTGTTTGCCGGCGATTGCTAACAGCCGTGGCGAGCGATATCTAAACCAGGCCCCGGACTCCCCTTCACCAACCTACACTGATAAGCTTGGTGAAAGATGGTCAAATAGGTGTGGGGAGGCCTCCATCCAGCAGTGGATTGATAAAGGGCTCTAAGTTGCATGCAAGCGACAGTCTAATGGAGGTAACACTGCTGTATTAATGAGACAGGATAAATTTGAATTATTACAAACAAGACCATAAAAATTAGATAAAAGAATTGGAATTTGCTGTTCTTTGCACCCCTGTATAATGACTGAGTGAAATGGCTGTTGGGGTGAGATGTTTACATGCCAAGCTGATGCCGTGTTGGAGCGTTGAGCTCAGCACTGCTGAGATCTTGAGTTCAAGCCCAGGAGACATAGCCCCGTGATTAACCATGATGCTCAAATTTAGCGAGTTGAGTTTCAACCAATGGCTGCACATTCAAAAAATCCAAACTGTAAAATGTTCAATCTTGACTTAAAGCTTTCGTGACTGCAGGAATTCATATTATTGGGTCTTTCGGTAAAGCCACGTACATAGATCAAATAATGAAAATAATATCCCGCGATATTTCTCACTTGATGACGATTGCTTGTGTTGCGATCGAAACGTCGTGATATTATTTTATCTGTAAAATGTAATTATCTAAATTATGGCATATTCACCTGTGTACTCAATCTGGAAAAGCATTGTTAATTTGTCAACAGGAAATTGCAGTGGCGCGAATTTGTTTATGGGCTTTACACGAAGATATTGCTGCCCCAGTTAAAGCACCTGCTAAGTGCTAAGCCGCCCCAGAGGGGACCCCCTTGTAATGTGAGACACGGGGTCCAAATTATCATCATGTTCCAAAAGTTTAACATTGCAGTTTGATAGTTTTGTGAAGGAGTGGTATGATGTTGCTCTACGCGTAGCATCCGTTCCCCTCTCAGGTTTTGATACGCCGTTATTGTTTGACAAGTTACTAATGAAAATGCCCGCAACTGTCGATTAGGATTTAATTTTCTTTGTTTATTCTGTTGGAGAAAAAAAACAATAAACGACGTTTTTCAGAGTTTTCTGTTTATATTTAGAACGTTCTGCTTTGCTGCGCTTATTTAAACTGAGTTGTCAATTTGTGAGAGACTCTTGATCTCATTCGGCTCTTAACTAGCTATGAGTGGATAATTTAAAGACATTGGTTTGATTGACATGCAACGGACACTGCAGGGCACATAAAGTGCTTTTCCATAGTGTGCATGAACAAAGCAATTGAAGTGACTTCAAGAGTGGTCATCCTATTGCAAGGTGGTACACTGCTTTCTTTGGGAGTTCCGTATCGGAACTTGCTACATGACATGCTGCTGAAAACACAGTTGCAAACCAAAAGGGGAGAAAACTAAATGCAAAAAGAGAGAAGACTGAACAAGGACCCACATCAAGACAAACTTGTAGGTTTTAAAGGTAAAAAAACACAACCCACAAATACGTGGTTCTTACCTTGCAGGCGACCTGAGATACCTGTCCAAAGCTGTCATAACGAGTTGTAATACCCAGTGATTGCGAATATATAACTTTAAAGTGACTTTTGCATACCATAAGAGCGCTCTAGTAGCATCACTGCATTGGTATTAATAGATAGGATGGCAATGCTGCAGTGATGTAACCAGAGCCTGCTATGGGGAACGTGTGTGGCTGAAAGTCCCTTTTAAAGTGTGTTTTCTTCCCACTCGTGCTGAACAGCTTGGGGCCACAGCCTCGGTGTTTTTCTGTGAACTCCGAGTCAATGAAATCTCATGGGAAAAGTCCCAGCCGCTGAGGCAAATGTTATAGTCTACAAGCCTCGGTAAACCACAGCTGGATAATGAATGTGAACTGTTGTGAAATAGCATTATCATGGTGTTACGCATTCACTTTTGCGCTTAATAATTGACACGTTTCTTACGTTTTTTGGATTAAATAAAAATCTGAATATGCATTGCCACCGTAATCTCAAGATGTAAGTAATAGATTCATCTTCGACATTCCACTCGATTTATTCTGAAAATCTGGCTGTGCCTGATGATGCTCCTTGTAATTACTGATGATGCTCCTTGTAATTACTGATGAAACGTCATACTCAGATTATAAATGTTGTGGATTTCCTCCAACACACCGGTGTGCTGTACTAGTTATAAATTGTCGTATATGTGTGGCAAACCTTACTGATTGGCAGTGTTGGGTGCTGGCGGGTTTAACGACATGTACACGATCTAACCTAAAAAAAACCTGTATTATGGATGATATTGGTCGTGAAAGCCTACATGTTAAACCGATTTATTCTCTTTGCAGAAACTGCATCAATGTTATGACAGGTGGATGAGAGCTCCCACTAACAACGATCAACTTCGTTTTGATGGAGCCATCCAGCTATACCGTGTTGTCAGCCAGAATGTGTTCCGCTCGCGGATAAACCCGTGGTGCCAAAACCGTGACTCAATCCACGTGTGGCTGCCAGTCAGTTCAAAGTGCAACTCGATAGAGAGGCAAATCATTTGTAACTTTGTGGTATACATTTTATCCGCAATAGAAACTGCTTAAGTGGACGGAGCCCCGGTACGAGCACTTCCAGGGCGCTCCCACAGATTTCTTTTTTTATCCTAAATATCTCGGCCAACCAGCGCAAGTGAACCGGGCGAGTGACCACCACACGGTGTAACTTGCGGTTATCTGCGGCCATGTGAATATTTAACTTTTGTGGCTCGCAGGGTAATAAGGTTTGCCCACCCCTGATCTCTACTTTAGCCAGGACATGTGCCCACCTCCCCTGAAGGTGACAGATTTAGCCTGAGCACCGCAACCACAGAAAAGCAATGTAACGGGTTTAAATGTCATTCATGTTCAGCGCACTTCAATGCCAACCAACATTTAGAGAGCGTGTCGACCATAGAGCTGTGGTCTTAAGTGCAAGTAATGTGGTCTGCTGCAGGATAACTAGATTATGGAGACATGTTCTGCAGAAATACCAGCAATAGAGAAGTGTCTAGTTCATCTGCCTCTGGTGATCAGGTAAATGTTTGCTCCGTTGAAAAATAATTATCAAAATTAAAATAATAAACGTAGAGTTTACATTCTGCCCCGAACACTAACATTTCCTCCACGCTTAAAAAGCCATACTTCTCATTTTCTGATCACCACTCTTAAACCTTCAGTCGCATTCCCTTGTTTTACAGCACCTTAAACCAAAATTAAGTTGTCGCTTATTACATTGTGCGATGCTGCAGTCAGATCACGTGGGTGTCGGTGTTGCCTAGAGGGCAATGTCTCTGCTGTCGAAATAAACGATCGCTTAAAATGTTTGCAACAAGCAAGTGCTGTAATTGTTGAGATCTGTTGGATTTTGTATACATGTATTGGGAAGTCGTTGCTTTTGCATGTTGTGTATTTACATTGCGCTTCTATACAAATATCAGCACTCTCCGACTTTCCATCGGCAGCCTCCCAACACGTACAGAGATTAATCTGTTTCCGAACGAGTCCGGTTCATCACTAGTCAATCTCCACCGCTAGCCTGTCTCGCCAATAGTCAACATCACTAGTCATGTCCACCACTAGTCAACCTCACTCCAACCAGTCAATCTCACAAAGTCAACCATCACCAGTCAGGCTCCACGAGTTAACCTCACTCCACCACTTGTTGACCTCACTGCACCACTGGTAGATATCAGCAATACTCAACCATCAGTCAATTTAGACCACGAGTCAACCTCACTCTACCTCTAGCAGTCAACCTCACCACCACGAGTCAACCTCACTCCACCCCTAGCAGTCAACCTACGAACCACGAGAGACAACCCCCGCCCCTCGACCCTCCCCGCCCCCTGCGGCCACCCCCACGCCTCCCGCTCCTCGTGACCCGCGGCTCGTGCGGGGACCATTCACCCCGAGTCTGCCCGGCCATGGCTCTCTACCTACGTTGCCGTCCGTCTTTGTCTCCTCCGCTGCTGCTGCTGCTACTGCTGCTGGCGAGTGGCTGTGTGGTTCTGTGCGCCCCGCCGCCACCGCTTCCCCTCGTCGTGAACACGTGGCCGTTCAGACAAACGGCACGGCGAGGTGAGGACACGGACAGGCAGAGATCAGTGGCGGCCGGCACGGAGGGGTTGTTGTGGCCAGCACCATGCCCCCGGGAGTGCTGATATGCCCCCGGCATGGTGCTGAGATGTTCACACCCTCGCACGGGGTACTCATTTGAGGCTGAGTCTACCTAGGGGAGACCCCAGGACCGGTTCAGATGATCGTCACTGGTTGATAGTGGTCGTGAGCGGGAGTGGGGCCGGGTTTTGTGTTTTAATTCGTGCGGCGGGCGCGAAACGCCGCGCCCGAAGCCCCTCGCAGCTCCTCGCATTCGAGGCCGGCGGAGCCGAGGGCCCCAGCCAGGAGAAGTCGCCCTCTGCCCGGCAGGGGACTCAGGCGAGCAGGGGGGATGGTGGCCGTGGTCGTGGCGGAAGGCCATGGAAGTGCATTGCACTGCGCAGCGTCGCGCACGGGGGGTGTTGGTACGTACATCTATGTTGCCGTGTTAGCTCTGCACCTCTGCTGCGTTAGCGTAGAGTCTTAGTACCTCTGTGTGTCGACACGTACGTACGTTTAACTTATTTCGCACAGCACGTACCATGGCAGTGTGTTAGTGTAGCGCTAGTACCTTGTGTGTGTGTAGGCGCACAGCGTTAGTAGCCGTGTGTGTTAGTGGAGTGTTAGTACAGAGTGCTAGCACCAATGTGTGTATCAGCGTGTTTACTGTAAGTGTCCCCGCGTGTTAACGTGGAGCCTTAGTGTCGAGTTAGTACGCTGTTACTGACAAGTGTTATTACCTTGCAATTGTAGAGTATTAGCGCACGTTGTGTCTGGGTGTAGTGTTAGTACGTATGTGTGTCAGCGTGTAGTGTCAGTGCCCCCATCCCCCGTGGAGTGTTAGTACTGTAACCATGTGTGTTAGTGGAGTGTTAGTACTATAGCTATGTGTGTTAGTGTAGCGTGTTCGTACTATAGCTATGTGTGTTAGTGTAGCGTGTTCGTACTGTAACCATGTGTGTAAGTGTAGCGTGTTCGTACTATAGCTATGTGTGTTAGTGTAGCGTGTTCGTACTGTAACCATGTGTGCTAGTGTAGCGTGTTCGTACTGTAACCATGTGTGCTAGTGTAGCGTGTTCGTACTGTAACCATGTGTGTTAGTGTAGCGTGTTCGTACTGTAACCATGTGTGTTAGTGTAGCGTGTTCGTACTGTAGCCATGTGTGTTAGTGTAGCGTGTTCGTACTGTAACCATGTGTGCTAGTGTTGCGTGTTCGTACTGTAACCATGTGTGTTAGTGTAGCGTGTTCGTACTGTAACCATGTGTGTTAGTGTAGCGTGTTAGTACTGTAACCATGTGTGTTAGTGTAGCGTGTTCGTACTGTAACCATGTGTGTTAGTGTAGCGTGTTCGTACTGTAACCATGTGTGTTAGTGTAGCGTGTTCGTACTGTAGCCATGTGTGTTAGTGTAGCGTGTTCGTACTGTAACCATGTGTGCTAGTGTTGCGTGTTCGTACTGTAGCCATGTGTGTTAGTGTAGCGTGTTCGTACTGTAGCCATGTGTGCTAGTGTTGCGTGTTCGTACTGTAGCCATGTGTGTTAGTGTAGCGTGTTCGTACTGTAACCATGTGTGTTAGTGTAGCGTGTTCGTACTGTAACCATGTGTGTTAGTGTAGCGTGTTCGTACTCTGCGTGTTAGTCTAGAGCGGTGTTCTTCACTCATTCTCAGAGGGGGTGCCACTTCCCCCAATAAGACATCACCAGTGTGTGGGCCGCCACATCATTTGAAACCATTGTTGGGTTTGACAGCAGCACGACGACGATGATGATGTTGGGTGGTGTTGATGATGTTGGGTGGTGTTGATGATGTTGGGTGGTGTTGGGTGGTGTTGATGATGTTGGGTGGTGTTGATGATGTTGGGTGGTGTTGATGATGTTGGGTGGTGTTGTTGATGATGTTGGGTGGTGTTGTTGATGATGTTGGGTGGTGTTGATGATGATGTTGGGTGGTGGTGTTGATGATGTTGGGTGGTGTTGTTGATGTTGATGATGTTGGGTGGTGTTGTTGATGTTGTTGATGATGTTGGATGGTGTTGTTGATGATGATGTTGATGATGTTGGGTGGTGTTGTTGATGATGTTGGGTGGTGTTGGGTGGTGTTGTTGATGATGTTGATGATGATGTTGGGTGGTGTTGTTGATGTTGATGATGTTGGGTGGTGTTGTTGATGATGTTGATGATGTTGGGTGGTGTTGTTGATGATGTTGGGTGGTGTTGGGTGGTGTTGTTGATGATGTTGGGTGGTGTTGGGTGGTGTTGTTGATGATGTTGATGATGATGTTGGGTGGTGTTGTTGATGATGTTGGGTGGTGTTGATGATGTTGGATGGTGTTGTTGATGATGTTGGGTGGTGTTCTCACTCGCTGGGTATCGTCAGGGGCCGCACTAACGACCACCAGGGGTAGCCAGTGGCACGCGGGCCTTGCAACGAAGAACGCTGCTCCAGAGTGTTAATACTCGTGTGCGTTAGTGCAGAGTGTTGGTGCCCCCTTGAGTGTGCGTTAGTGCAGAGTGTTGGTGCCCCTTGAGTGTGCGTTAGTGCAGAGTGTTGGTGCCCCTTGAGTGTGCGTTAGTGCAGAGTGTTGGTGCCCCCTTGAGTGTGCGTTAGTGCAGAGTGTTGGTGCCCTCCCTTGAGTGTGCGTTAGTGCAGAGTATTGGTGCCCCCTTGAGTGTGCGTTAGTGCAGAGTGTTAGTGCAGAGTGTTGTGCCCCTTGAGTGTGCGTTAGTGCAGAGTGTTTGTGCCCCTTGAGTGTGCGTTAGTGCAGAGTGTTAGTGCAAGAGTGTTAGTTGCAGAGTGTTGGTGCCCCTTGAGTGTGCGTTAGTGCAGAGTGTTGGTGCCCCTTGAGTGTGCGTTAGTGCAGAGTGTTGGTGCCCCTTGAGTGTGCGTTAGTGCAGAGTGTTAGTGCAGAGTGTTGGTCGCCCCTTGAGTGTGCGTTAAGTGCAGAAGTGTTGGTGCCCCTTGAGTGTCGCGTTAGTGCAGAGTGTTAGTCAGAGTGTTGGTTGCCCCTTGGAGTGTGCGTTTACGTGCAGGAGTGGTTGGTGCCCCTTGCATGTGTGCGTTAGTTGCAGAGTGTTGGTTGCCCCTTGAGTGTGCGTTAGTGCAGAGTGTTAGTGCAGATTGTTAGTGCAGAGTGTTGGTTGCCCTTGAGTGTGCGTTTTAGTTGCAGAGTGTTTGGTTGCCACCTTGGAGTGTGCGTTAGTGCAGAGTGTTGGTGCCCCTTGAGTGTGCGTTTTAGTTGCAGCGTGTTGGTGCCCCTTGAGTGTGCGTTAGTGCAGAGTGTTGGTGCCCCCTTGAGTGTGCGTTAGTGCAGAGTGTTAGTGCAGAGTGTTGGTGCCCCTTGAGTGTGCGTTAGTGCAGAGTGTTGGTGCCCCTTGAGTGTGCGTTAGTGCAGAGTGTTAGTGCAGAGTGTTGGTGCCCCTTGAGTGTGCGTTAGTGCAGAGTGTTGGTGCCCCTTGAGTGTGCGTTAGTGCAGAGTGTTGGTGCCCCTTGAGTGTGCGTTAGTGCAGAGTGTTGGTGCCCCTTGAGTGTGTGTTAGTGCAGAGTGTTGGTGCCCCCTTGAGTGTGCGTTAGTGCAGAGTGTTAGTGCCCCTTGAGTGTGCGTTAGTGCAGAGTGTTGGTGCCCCCTTGAGTGTGCGTTAGTGCAGAGTGTTAGTGCAGAGTGTTGGTGCCCCCTTGAGTGTGCGTTAGTGCAGAGTGTTGGTGCCCCCGTGTGTGTTAGTGCAGAGTGTTGGTGCCCCTTGAGTGTGCGTTAGTGCAGAGTGTTGGTGCCCCTGGAGTGTGCGTTAGTGCAGAGTGTTGGTGCCCCTCGAGTGTGCGTTAGTGCAGAGTGTTGGTGCCCCTTGAGTGTGCGTTAGTGCAGAGTGTTAGTGCAGAGTGTTGGCCCCTTGAGTGTGCGTTAGTGCAGAGTGTTGGTGCCCCCTTGAGTGTGCGTTAGTGCAGAGTGTTGGTGCCTGTTGAGTGTGCGTTAGTGCAGAGTGTTGGTGCCCCTTGAGTGTGCGTTAGTGCAGAGTGTTAGTGCAGAGTGTTGGTGCCCCTTGAGTGTGCGTTAGTGCAGAGTGTTGGTGCCCCCTTGAGTGTGCGTTAGTGCAGAGTGTTGGTGCCCCCTTGAGTGTGCGTTAGTGCAGAGTGTTAGTGCAGAGTGTTGGTGCCCTCGAGTGTGCGTTAGTGCAGAGTGTTGGTGCCCCTTGAGTGTGCGTTAGTGCAGAGTGTTGGTGCCCCTTGAGTGTGCGTTAGTGCAGAGTGTTAGTGCAGAGTGTTGGTGCCCCTTGAGTGTGTGTTAGTGCAGAGTGTTGGTGCCCCTTGAGTGTGCGTTAGTGCAGAGTGTTGGTGCCCCCTGTAGTGTGCGTTAGTGCAGAGTGTTGGTGCCCCCTTGAGTGTGCGTTAGTGCAGAGTGTTAGTGCAGAGTGTTGGTGCCCCTTGAGTGTGCGTTAGTGCAGAGTGTTGGTGCCGGCCTTCATAGGTGCTCGCTAACAGCACTTTCCCCAACAGTCTGTTAAGGCTACACGGGTGATCTTTGTGTGTGTGTGTGGCAGCGTGGAGTGAGCTCCAGGCAGGTGGATCTGCAGTGGACGCCGTGGAGGCCGGCTGCCAACAGTGCCAGCTGGACCGCTGCGACGGCTCCGTGGGATACGGTGGCAGCCCTGACGAGCGAGGGGAGACCACCCTGGACGCTATGATCATGAACGGGTGAGCTTGATACGCAGAGGTGCCACAATGACGAGATGTTAACTACCTCGACTGGTATACAGGAGTTCGTGGGTTCGACTCCAAAACCCTTGATGCCTGCTGTATATTTGGAGTTTGCATGTCTCTCTCCCTGTGGTCACGTGGATTTTTCTCCGTGTTTTTCCCACCACATTTGGAATTAACATCACACGTTTAGTGTATTTGACTGCGATAATTGTCCATGTGATAAGCCACTTCGTTGAGCTATCATTTGTGGCCAGGTCGCTTCTGAAAAAGCTATACGGCTCAGTGGGCCTTACCTGGTAAAATAAAATATAGTTTAGTTTTTTTTATAGATAGGCAGGAGGTCGTTCAGTAGGGATAGGTAACCCATTTCTTCAGGCACACCCGAATTGAGCCAGTGTGGGTCCCTCCTGCTATGGGTGACTTTCCACTGCATATTTACCTACCCAAGACAGAACCAAACTGTGAAGCTTTGGTCCCCACAAGACATCTCAATTTGGCCACGGGCGGCACAATGGTGCCACCGCATCATCTACGTGCGTCTTCACTTGTTCATTGCCCGTGACATCAGTCAGGTAGGTCTCTGTGAGGACACAGCCTCACCATGCCATCCACACGTGTCATTCACAACCGCTCGGCTTCTGCAGTGGAAACACAACCTGGCGCACCCCCCCCCCCCCCCCCCCCCCCCCGTAGCTCGGTTGTGCAGTGGAAAAGAGAGAGATAAGAAATGACTTTTTAAAATTATTATGTATATCTGTATGTTGAACTTATTTCGTACTGTACGTAGCCAGCCGTGCTAATCGGAGGTGCGGAGGAAGAACAACGTGGCTTAAATTTCGATTTAAATCTTTCGTGACTGCAGGGATTCATCTTCTTGGTTCTTTCGGTAAAGTCACGTAGAATGGAAATAAAATAATAAAAATAAACATAATAAAATTTGGGTAGATCGCGTTTATTTATAAATGTGTCGTAACCCTCCACCACCCGACACGGCCAATCAGCAAAAAAAGTGTCACGTTGACAAAAGACAAATAAGTCACTACTTTAGCCCACCGGTGTGTTGAAGAGTGAATCCACATTTACAGTTTGAGTACGAAGTTTCGCTGGTAAATACTTCCAGCATCATCGGGCAATTCGCCAGAATGGTAAAGCCCTCGCTTGCTCCCGGTTTTATATAGAGCAGCAGCAGGGTGACGTCCATCACTTAAACTCATATCAGGTGCAGTGATTAGAGGGGGGGGGGGGGTATTGTAATTATATAATCGATTAGTAATCAGTCATTGGTTATGATTAGTAATGAGTTGTAGATTAGTAATTCTTAAATCAAAATGTAATGTGTATATTTAATTAATATCGGCTTCCAGGCCGCACTAAGCCGGTAGCTGTCAGAGCGATTAAAGTTATTCTTGTTCCTCTCAATTTCAATGGATTCTCTAATTAGTCTTTGCCAGTAATAATTAGTTTTACACACCACTGCAACATTGTCAAAATCAATTGAGTGTCCTTGTGACAAGCATGTCGGCCACTGCCGACAGTTGTGTTTGAGATAATTTAATATTTCTCTGATGTTTTTTTTAGTCTTACGCTGATGTTACGTCCCGTCTGCCCAATTGTAGCAGCTGCCACATGAACAATTAATCTCGATAATACACCTTCTCGTGATAGTTTAGGTTAATGCGTCTTTAGTGGCAAGATACTAGTTTTTGAATTTTGTGTACTGTACCAAATCTTACTGTAATGTTTTGCCTTTGCAAAACACGGGCTAATTTGTCAGTTACTCCTGAGATATATTGAAATTTTTATGTTTTAACAATCTGGTCGGAGCAGCGAGGGCTTTACCATTCTGGCGAATTGCCCGATGATGCTGGATGTATTTACCAGCGAAACGTCCGTACTCAAACTGTAAATGTGGATTCACATCTTTCAACACGCCCGGTTGGCTAGAAGATAAACATAATAAAATATGTTTTATTTTTATTATTTTATTTCCATTCTACGTGACTTTACCGAAAGAACCAAGAAGAACAACGTGGCTTGTTTATCCAGGAGAGTCTCACTGAGCCTCATGACTCTTTTTCAGGACGGTCCTGCCAAGCTTTTGCAGTCGGGGGTAATGATTGCTGTGCATAGCATATTCCAATTGAGTGATTCGCAGGTAATTGTTCAAATTTGGTTAATTTGGACCATGACACCGGCAAACGGTGCCTACTTTTGTGAATAACGCCACAGGATCTGTAACGTTCACTGTATTTTGACAGCTTATACACCCGCAGTATTAACCATAGTGGCCAGTCGGATTCGAACTGTGAACCTCTGCAACAAGCGGATTATAAGATGCTCTGGGAAGTTAAGACGTACCCCAAAACTCGTGCCCAGTGTCAAAAACCTCTTAAATCCCTTGGGGTTTGTGTTGTTGTTGTGAAGTCATTGATGACTGGAAGGAGAACCAACAACTAAACTGCAATCATGGGACGTCTGAATCCCAGATTCGAATCTAGGATCTCACCAATGCTGGCTGAGTGTCTGTCTGACAAGGTATTAGCCCCGAGCCAGTAGACTACCTAGAACTCTGTTGTGTTTTGCAGCGATACCTTCGATGTGGGTGCCGTTGCCGACCTGCGCCGAGTCAAGGATGCCATCGGCGTAGCCAGGGCCGTCATGGAGCACAGTGAGCACACCCTGTTGGTGGGGGAATCCGGTAATCATTTTTTTCTTGCGAAACCTTAACATCATTCTGCCAAAAAAAAATGTTTTGTGAGGCTCAACCAGGACACAAGGTGAGCTGGCAGCACCCTCCACCCATCAGCCATGCTCGTTATTTACACAGCCATGCCCACTCAGTCACTTGCCCAGCTATCATTTGTGGCCAGGTTCGCTTCTGAAAAATAAGTTAATACCTCGGCGTGCTTTGCCTGGTAGGATGGGGATGGTTTAGTTTTATTTCTGTGTGTTTGGGTGATGTTTATATTTCTTGTACTTTGCACTACTATCATGTTATTGTCTTGTTTCTTGTCGTAATGTTCTTACCTGCCCCTCCTGGACATCTGTGAAAAAGAGCTTGAAAGTTCATCGGATTCCTCCTCCAGTATAAATAAATATTTTGATTCTGATTCAGTGCCTTCTGTTCTCTTTCTCACACTGGACCTGCCTACTTAACTAACTTTTTATTCTACCAGGTAAGTCCCACTGAGCTATAAGGGCTCTTTTTCAGAAGCGACCTCGCCACAAATGATAGCTCAACGAAGTGGCTTATGTGGAAATTTCTAGCAGCCAAATACTCTAAACGCGTGACGATGATTCCAAATTCTGGAGGAAAAACCGGGCATCCCCGACAAAGGTCTACTTGCTTGTAAGCCCCACCCACTACTCAGGTAGCTCAGCCCTTTGCCCTGTATCATGAATGGAGCGTGAGTCCAGATTATTTTAGACCAGGAACAAAATCCCAATTATCACAAATGCTATGCGACAGTTCTTGTGGCAATTGTTCCGACCAAGCCGGTGTGTTTAGTAGCTATGGTTAGCTGCTGCAACATCCCTGCACATTACTTTGTTGCATTCCTCGTACACAAATGCAACTCCCTATCTTCTGCTGTGCAATACGGTTGCAGAGTACTGAACCATTTAAATCAGTCGCAGGGCTTGTCTGTGAGAGTTAAATGCGATCGAAGCTAAGAAGGCCTTGAGGTCCTGACTCCCACCCTCCTCTCTTGCCTGAATGCCAGCCCAAGGAGCCCAGCAGGGGCTCGAGGCAGGGAAGTGAATAAAAAAAATATCGAGGCATTTTAGAGAAACCAATAAGGAGATAATTAAACAAATATTGAAAAAGCAAATTAGTTCATGGCAGGCTGTTAGAGTTTTGTGATCATAATCTGGCTTTTAGTCACCCTGCTTTAGGTGTCCACACTTTTTTGTTATTAAATTATGATATGTATGTTCAATACATACAAATCCGTACAAAACATGTTCGGACAACGCGGCAAATTTGATGCTTCTGGATTACTTGATTTTTATTATTGAATATTGGCCAGGCGTCTTAGCGGTAAAATTAGCAGCTCATGATTGGAAGCTTTGCAAGTTCAAATCCTGGTTGGGAGGTTGGTTCATCCCTTCACGGTCGATAAGTGAGTGCCATTTGTTGGGGAAGTCAATAACGGCTGTCATTGGTAGACTTGCTCCCATCATAGGAATGGGGAATTTCCACCACTGGCTCAGGACTCTAAACAGGAGATGAGCACTGCCTCAACGCTTATTTGAGCAACAAATTACTTTGACCATTGTAGAATAAGTTTCAGCTAAATGCAGCTTAATGGCATTGCCAACTATTGGATGTAATGTGATCATTTAAATTGTACAGAGGTGGTTGTGGCTCATGTGACTAAGGCATTGTGTTTGTTGTCTTTGTCAGCATCGAAGTTTGCTTTGGAAATGGGCTTTCCTGAAGAAGACCTCAGCACAAACTCATCCAGGGAACTCTATGAGAAGTGGAGGCGAAACTCATGCCAGCCAAACTATCGCAAGGTGCATTTTACTTTCATCATTGTAATGTAAACATGGCTAATGCAACCATTACATACACGCATTGCTATTACGTTGTGGAGACTAGAGGTGTGGGCCCAATGGAATCTGATCTGGTTATGAATCAATTCAAACCACGATGTCACGGATCCGATACGGATTGCTTATGTCGTCATAAATTGGATTTCATTGCAGAATGATGTATTACTAGATTTTGTATGACGCACCACAATTAACCAATAAGATTGTACAGACCTGGTCACACACACACATAACCCTTCTATGTAGTACAAGACCCACCACGATCTCTTGGTTTAAAATAAAGTTGTAAGAAGAGCATACCGTGTAACCCTGCAGCCACTATACATTCCACTTGTTCGAAAATAAATGTAAAAAAATCATGTAATTAACGCTAATTTAACACTTGGGATGCTTTGCAATTCCCCTTTGTGAAATGTTTCATATTATGCCTGTGGAAGGAATCCGGAGTGTGTGGAGACAACCCATCACACCTACAAGGGCAATAGCAGCCTCCCCCCCCCACTGCTCCCCCTCCCTCCACCCTGGCATGCTCCGTGCTCCCAGGTGACCTGCGTCGGCCTCAAAAACCCAACGAGAGCGCTGGCGGTCACTCATGCGGTGTCGGGGCACGGCCACACTGTGGGAATTGGGGCTGTCCTACTCGCGACTGGCTCCCAGTGGTGATTGCCCAGATTACAGATGCACAGTTTTGGGGGGGGGGGGGGGGTTGTGTGGCCTGCCCACACGTAATATTGCATGAAATTCGCATGTGCGTGCACGTGCCCCATGACCTCAGGCAGTGCGTGAACTAATGCTCACGCGAATGGATGAATGAATCGCCGCCAAGCCAGTGTGCGGTTTGGCCTCTTCTCCCTCAAGACCCAGCCTTCTGTTTATAGTCACACTGCTGAATATTTGCTGCACTTGCCCTCTGCTGCCCACTGTGTGTTGTAGGCTACCGCACAACTATGTTGTGGGCAGCAGAGGGGATTGCAGCGAAAGCCATTGTTGGATCGTACTTCTGTGCCTCCCACATTTCTCCTCTGTTGCCCCCCACAGTCTGGAACTCCCTTTCCCCAGCCATCGGTGCTGTTGAGTCCACGCCCTCTGTTCAAGTCCAGGCTCAAGAACTTGCTTTTGTCCTCTGCCTATGACAGACTGCCTCTTTCTCTGTAACAACTGTGCCCACTGATTTTGTGCCCAGTCTCATGTAGACGCTATCCAAATCCCCATTGCATTGTACTGACTTTGATTTCGATTACTGCGTTTTTATACACCGTGTTTCAATTGCAGAATGTAACACCGGACCCAGACAAGTCTTGCGGCCCCTACAAACCAATCGCCTCTTCTACGCAGACCTGGTCAAGTCCCATCGGCATTGACAATCACGACACGATTGGTAAGACAATGTTTGAATGGCAATGCGTGATGCAGACACGGCTGTGTCGCGTTGCGATATTTCAGTAGGCACTGTTAATTCCTCCTGGACAATCCTGCGATGGTGGGATGGCTCAAACGTTCTCTCCTCTGTTTTCCGAATTAAAATCTGAGCCACAATGCCTAGCGATGGAATAAACTGATGTCCAGAGCCGGGACAATTAGTCGGTTGAGTGTTGAGTCGGGAGAAAATTATAATCACGCGCAATTCGATACACATAACCTTAAGAATCAACACAAATTGATGAATCAGCGCATGTTCATGTGATAGCCAACCACTGCCCATCATACTCTTTTACAGGAGATACAGAAGCCGTACATCAAACATCTGTTGATGCCATCCAATGGATTACTAGACTTGACACAGTTATGTCGTGTCACTTGCTTTTCAAATGTCGTATGAAGTAGAGAGATAAACGATGATGTATCATCGCATCCCTAGTGAGTAGTGTAGACACCATAATATTTTCTTCATCAGCCAATATCTGTCCATTGCTGAATGAAGGCGTCTCCAAGATGTTGCCATCACTCCTATGGTACAAAAGCCCACCCAGCACCTGCACCAGAATTAAACTCGTCGCTCCCATCTCTGCGGTGAGATCCTCTTCGGCACTTCCCCCCTTTGGCTGCCACTCCATTGTGACGTCTGCGGCCCAAGCCTGCGAGATGTTAACTCCCTCGCCTAGTATACAGAAGGTCGTGGATTTGATTCCATCCCCGACACCTGTATATTTGGAGTTTGCTTGTCTCTCCCCTCGTGGTCGTGTGGATTTTTCTCCGGGTCTTCCGGTTTTTCCCTCCACAATTAGAAACATGCGTTTAGAGTATTTGGCTGCTATAAATTTCCACACGATGAAACACTTCGTTGCGCAATCAATTGTGGCCAGGTCGCTTTTAAATAAATAAAAACTTTTTCAATATACTTTTCTTAACAGTCAATTATGCCTTTAATCTGCGTACGATTAAAGGCACTCTTCTCCCGCGTGCGGTGCTAACGAGGCGTGCCCGTGGCATGCCGTGTCATTTTCGAAGGCGTCGTGGTGATCGACTCGCAGGGACGAGTATCCGCAGGGACCTCCACCAACGGGGCAACTCACAAGATCCCTGGGTGAGTTTAGATGCTGTTGCTCTCTCCTCAATTGGTGATGATAATAATAATAAAAACGGAGCGATTTCCTGCTATGACAATTGAGGCAGTGCTCACCTCCCGTTTACAAGCCACGAGCTGGAGGTGGAAATTCCTCGTTCCTATGGCAGGTGTGAATTTACACAAAGGAAAAACACCTCGCCTCGTTACTTTCAAAGGGAAATGATGACTCGGAGGTGTGAGGAAACGCAGACGAGTGGCAAAGGCGGCCGGGCGGTGAACTTTTGCCGAATTCCCCCCCGCCCACCACCCTGTACGGTCCTTTAGATGTGAAGGTCATATCGGCCAATTGATGAGCATTTACTTGTGAGAGGATACCGACATATGCAAGAGGGGAATGCTCTGTCGCATTCAGATCGAACGGATGTAGCCCACATTTTTGCTGCACTACCTTCTCCAGGCATGCCAGGGTACGTGTGGCACCTCGACGCGCTTGGTTAGGGAGTTTCACAACATTTGTGCGATCTACCAACCCTCGCCTCCACACTGCTGGATTACAGGCGTGCGTAGCCACCACCGCTCGGCTGTGGTACTTATTTTATAAGGATTTTTAACTCGGGACATTACGATTGTGAATTACTGTAGCACAAAAATTATCATAATACCAATTTACAGCCCTTTGTGCCTGCCCGGGTTATATCTTTGTTTGGTTTGCGTGCTCTCGTGTTCCAGCCGCGTTGGGGATTCTCCTGTACCTGGGGCCGGCGCCTACGCAGCAGGGAGCGTGGGAGGGGCATCGGCCACGGGCGACGGTGACGTCATGATGAGGTTCCTGCCAAGGTGCGTATGCTGCTACTGTCGCCAGACAAGGCTTGATTATTGCAACTCACCACAATACGGGACGTCTGGCAAAAAAACATTACCAAGTTGCGGCGTGTACAGAATTCTCTGGCACGTGTCGTGACGGGTACCGCAAGATCCGACACCGTGTCTGTACAGTGCTCGCAGAGCTGCACCACTGGCTCTTCTGGTTCCCGAAGGAATACAGAATAAAGTCGCGCTCATTACTCACAAAGTGCTTGCCACAAACGAACCACAATAGCTCGCTGATCTCGTCAAGGAGCTCAGCGGTAGAGCGAGCGGCTTGCAAATCGGAAGGGTTGCGCGTTCACATCCTGGTTGGGGGTTGACTCAGCCCATCATCTCTCCCCCCCCCCCCCCCCGGGAGTCGATAAAACAAGTACTCCTTTGTGGATAAGTTAACAGTAGTTGTCCTATGGATAGACTCTCCCATGCAATGAGGAATTTCCACCACTGACTCAGGGCTGTAAATATGAGATGAGCACTGCCTCTGCTCATTAGAGCAGGAAATCAACGTTTATTATTGCCTATTAAAATCACATTTTTACAACAACCCGAACAACTGTGCCTGAAAAAGTCTTAACCTAGAGGCATTTCTGGGAAATACTCAGCAATTGTTACTCCCTTACAAACAAAAGCCACCCGGAATCTTAAGCGTTTTTTTAGAGGGTCCGCACTGGGGATGTTTGGCCAACACCAAAAACGTTGCTATGCTTTTGGCAATGGGAAGAACCCAGAGAGCTCGAAAGAAACCCCACGCAGAACAGGGGAAGGGCACACAAACTCCACACAGTAAGGCACCCGGGTCAGGAATCGAACTCGGGTACCTTGCTGTGAGGCACAATTATTTCCATTGCGTGACCTTGGCACCCATAACTAGAGTAACTCGAGATGATGTCCAATTGGTGTCTCAGTTATCAGGCAGTGGAGAGCATGAGGAGGGGCATGGATCCCACGCTTGCTTGCGAAGACGCCATCCGGAGGATTAAGAAGTTTTTCCCAAGCTTCTTTGGAGCCATTATCTGTGCCAACATCACTGGAGGCTTTGGTAAGTGTTGTGTGCTTTTTGTTGTTGTGCTGCCCGTGTTTATGGGGTGTGGTGGCACTAGTTATTGTGCCGAGCTACGAATCCGGCTACCTGGATTAAATCCCTGGCCAGGACCTCTCCCATATGCATTTAGCCTCATGCAAGGGATGCCCAGAGCCGCCTCTAGCGGAGGCTCTGCCGCCAGCAGTGGAGTAAGCAGAAGGCGCAAGCGGTTCAGCATAAATTTTATTTAGAGAGGTGTAGCGCCGTTATTTTTAAAGACATTTTGCTCACTGCATAGACCGTAGCGACACAACCGCACTCTATGATAGCTGGCACGAAACTGTGCCACACGCCCTCCCGCATGGCTTGTGGAAGCTTCAGTAGCGATAAAGTTATTTCATTTTTTCTTTGGGTTCCGTTTCGATAACATACGCGTACATCATTGGAATGGAAAAGGGTTCATATATAGAGGACCGCAGAGCTTGGAGGGGAATTTGGCACCAGCTCACCACGTGGCTGCTGCCTGCCCACTTGTCTGTGGTTCCTCCTCACACCACTGAGTCGTTCACTCCCTTCGAGAGTAAGAAACCGTTGTGTACGTTCCAAGTTGAAATTATGACACAATGTCCTGTGCTTTGATTCGCTGTTCTCTGTCCTGCTTGCAGGGGCAGCATGCAACCGGGCTCCCGGTCTTGACCAGTTCCACTACACGGTCTTCAACTCTGCCGTGGGCCAGGCTACAGACTATACCGCCAATTGTTTATAAACCTAGATTAAGCGTTTTACATGCTTTTAAAAGGCTTAGCAGAGGTGGTTGGGGGAACCGGGAGACTGATACCATGCTAATTCTAAAAGTTGGCCGATTCCAACTTTTAGAATAAAAATTTCAGTTTTATTATCGTGCGATGAACAAACAATTGTTACGATCTTTCCAGCTCATAAAAGATGTGTGCCCCTAGTGGAGTAGTTCTCAGCCTCCTGGTATGGCAGCGCCCCAATCAAGACCACTGATCCCCGTGCCACCCTTCTGATTGCCCAAAAGACATCAAAGGTTACCAAAGATGCGGTGTTAGAGATTATTTAATGTCGTGTATTCGTGTGGTTCGTTGCACAAAGTGGCGCTTGCATTCCTCGTACACATGACATTCTCCCTGCACAGTGTCCATGTCACAGCCTATCACCTTAAACCCTCTTTAAACTTCCATGGGGTGTCACCGATAAGTTGAGAACCGCTGCTCTCGTTTAAAAATGTCTATTGAAGGAGCTTCAGAAGTTGTTCTGTGATCTCATCGTATGGGCTATTCTTTCACGATGTGGTGCAATGCAATCTATGGTTCGAAATGGAAATGTGTCTCATGACATGATACTGATAGCACAATTTGTAATTGGGTAAAAAAACACCTTTTAGATTTTACAAAATGTTGACAATTAGTTTTTCATCTATAAATCGAGTTTAATTCTATCTCATGAATTTATTTTTCAAGGCAATGACTTGACGAACCTGAATCGATGGATGGCCATTTATGTCCATAGTTTGAGGTTTTCTGTGAATTCTCAGGGATCTATACATTCCAGAATCGTTGGTCAGTCTGTGACACAAGTAATCTTAAGCAGCAGGATCATGATTTTCAAACTTTTTTTAATTATTCAAAGATGTACATACATATAAGGATGTACATAAAGCAGACAACCACAACATTTCCAAGATAGACTGCTATGGGAAACGGCAATTGATAAAATACCTCGTAGCGTACACTTACTCATTTAGTGTAACTCGTAGGCTTTAACACTGACTCGCTTACATTTTTAATACTGTTGAGATAAAAGTATTCTAGCTAGGTGGTGCGTTGTGGGACCAAATCGAGTTTAAACCACTAAGGAATGACCATTGCATTAACATAGAAATGTCATCATCAGATTTGTCTGGAGTCGAGGAGGGAACTAATTTGCAATCAGCACGGATGTTGGGAAATTGGATCTTGGTTCTGACACTGCAGGTAGTTTCTGTTTCTTCAAGGTTAACTGGCGTTTAAATTAGGTTTCCCATGAAATTCATTCCTGGGACCGAATCTGTGTTAAGGCCCTCTGCCACTCAACAGAGGCACACATTAAAATGTCACTTGCACAGACGTTTAATGTGCACATTGTTTCACCTCACCGTTAAGTTAAAAGAGCAATTCTCTCGAGAATATTTAGCACTTAGATACGTGATGTTTCGCTAGAAACTAAACCAACAATATTCGTCAGAATATTCAGGAAGTCAATAAAAATTCAGCAAGTCAGAAGAAAACATCGTGTCAAGATGAAATTGTCACACATTCTTCCGTTTGTTAAATTATTGTAAACATTGCATTTGTTTGGCTGTAAGGTGGTTGAGGGTCTTACAATACATTTGGCCTCACCCAAACATCAACTATGAATTGCTGCAAAACATAGACGTTAACGTTTCTCGTAAATTACCAAATACCACTCCTTATGTTTATGTTGATATAAACTATTTCGGTGGGTTTTATGGTGGTGTTGATCGGGATGTTTGTTAATGAATGTTATAACAAATTGTGATCTTAAAGTTCTATGAGCAGAGGCAATTATGCACGTGTACTTTCTACTTGGGTAATATCCAGTGAGACTTTTTGCAAGGGATATCTGGGAAGAATACATCATAGGGAAATGACGGCACAGGTTGTGTAAAAAAACTGTACAAGAAACGAGTTTTTGTATGTACAGGTGCATGTGCTGAAAACCGAACCCAATATGAAGATACTGTCATTGTACACGTAAACTGTGCAAAAAGAAAACGTGCTGTAAATGATTATAATTTAAAATGAATTATACCTTTAACTGTTGTGGCTGCTTGTTTTATATAATGCTTTCCAACTCAGGTTGCCCAACACTTTGGAGGCACTAACCAGGGGAAACTATTACACAACTCCACGTGGGGTGGGGGGGGTTATACCCCGGGTTCATATCTGCGATTTTAACTCAACTTATCAACCAACGGAGTAAAAAATACACCAAGTTACCCCGTGGGTTATAGGATCGGTTTGCTGTGGGGAGATATTTTGCGCAAAAACAATCGCAGATTACAGAATGCCGTTACGTAATAAGTTACGGTGAAAGTCACGGACAATTTGCAAGGAATATGGCTCGGCGAATGGCAATAACTTATGTCAATAATGTCAATAAATCATGGCAATAATTGATGGGGTAAGTCACGGACAATTGCATTGAATATGGCTCGGCGAATGATCGTGCACAGCAGTCCCATTGCGGACCGCCGCCGTGAACGACGCGTTTGCACACAAAGCCACACGTCGCCTTCCGTAAACAAAAATATATATATGCTGTACCAACGGTGAATATAATGGAAGAACTAGAATAACAAGAGTGATAGCATGGGAAATAAACTATGTTGGGAGAAGCCGTTCCGACCAGGTCCTCCGCCTCGTGAGGCGAGGTTACTGTGGGGAGCTGTCATTGGCGGGGTTCTAACCGATTCCAAATGTCACGATTAAAGTACAACTCCGATTCGCACGTCGATTCCCCCCCCCCCCACTTCCAATCTACAATATGGAATCAATACCGGAATCTAAATAAAATCGGTTCGCACGCCACCCAAAGCACGATTCCATTCACGAAAAGCGAGCTCGGGAATCGATTCGAGCGTTCGTCGAATCGGTGCGTCACGAACCAGCGACGTGTAGGGTTTCACCGCGGACCCAATCAGCGCCGCGCGAGTCGCTGAGGCGGCGTCGGCCGAAGCCGTCGTCAGCGCCCCTCGCTGCCGCTCCGTCTCCCCGAGGACAGCAGAGCGGGAATGTCGATGTCGAGCGGAGGTCTTGGGTGAGCTGCAGGGACGTCCAGCCGCAGGCGACGAGAAACTCATCTCGCCGACGGGGGGAGGGGGGGCCCTCCTCCTCCTCCTCCTGTACGGTGGACGGATACGCTCAGCCGTAAACGCGTTGTTGTTGTTAAGTGGCGCGAGTGGAATCAATAAATAAATTGATGTTTACAGCGGCCGCACGCTGAAGAGTCACAGCGGTGGCTCGGCGCGGGCGCGGCACAAACACCGTGCTGCCTGGAGAGGGTTAATAGCCGGTGGGGGGGGGGGGCCGGGGGGGGGGGGGCCGGGTGGGGGGGCGTTAAAGCAGCAAATGACCGCGGACTCCGGAATCGCGTTTCTCCCTCTCGGTAAGCGGGAGGGATGGGGGGCGGGGGGGTCAGGGGGTGGGGTCAGAGGGGTGGGGGGGGTCAGGGGGTTAGGGGGGGGTCAAGGGGTAGGGGGGTCAGGAGGTGAGGGGTGGGGGGGGGTCAGAGGGGTGGGGGGGGGGGTCAGAGGGGTGGGGGGGGTCAGAGGGGTGGGGGGGGTCAGGGGGTGGGGGAACCCGTGGGTGGGGGGGATCAGAGGGGTGGGGGGGTCAGGAGGTGAGGGGGGTAATGGGGGGGTCAGAGGGGGGGGTCAGAAGGTGAGGGGGGTAATGGGGGGGTCAGAGGGGGGGGTCAGGAGGTGAGGGGGGTAATGGGGGGGTCAGAGGGGGGGGTTAGGTGGGGGAGGGGATTGGGGGGGGTCGTTTAGGGGGGTCAGGGTTGAGGCCCCCTCTTGCTGCCATTCTCATCCATCGCCCCGTGTTGGTGTGACAGCCAATCAACACGATTGACATCGACTTTGCCATCACCATTAGTCGTACCGTCAACTTCATCATTGTCACCGGTGGCATCTTCATGTGGAGCATCACCTGTGCCATCATAACACATCGGCACCATCAGCAGTAACGTCTCCTGTACCATTGTTGTCATCAGCATTGGCTGTACCATCAACATCATCGCCACCGTGATAGACGGCAACATCCCCTGCATCATCAACATCCATCATCACCATCATCAACAGAAACAATCTCCTGTACCAGCAAGAGATACATGTCCAATACCGTTGTTGACATTTACAATATCAACATCATCAACGCCATTATCAGCTCCATGGTTAACATCAACACAAACATCATCATCACCACCATCACAGCAACAGTCCCACATAATCCTCGATAGCAACATTAACATCACCAACACATTCACATTTGATCAACAGCAACGTCTCCCAACACCTCTGTTTACACAGCACTACCTCACACCTGTAATGTTTATGTAACTTAGTTGGTAAATGTGCTCAGATCATAATCTGCCCAAGCGAATTTCTAATTTAATGTTGATTATTTGGGCGGTGTTTTCTATTTTTCACGTGATACTTAATTTTGCCCTTATTTATATTTGTTTTGCTTTCGTCATTTTGCTGACTCGGGTCACTATTCCAATTGTGTGTACTGTACGTTGAACTTCTTTCGCACCGTACACAGCCAACCGTGCTAATCGGAGGTGCGTGGGAAGGACATCTAACTTGACACACGGTAATAGAGAGAGGCTATCCTGGTCTCTCGAGGTCTCAGCTGGTGATACACAAACAATTAACACGACCCGTTTAGTCAACCTTAATTAACACCTCCACCAACACCATCAACGTCACGAACGGCATTATCAGCAATATCAGTTAGCATGAGCACCATCATGGGCAAACACCACCATCATCATCAACTACACCACCACCATCAACTACACCACCACCACCATCAACTACACCACCACCACCATCAACTACACCACCACCATCAACTCCACCACCATCAACTACACCACCACCATCAACTACACCACCACCATCAACTACACCACCACCATCATCAACTACACCACCACCATCAACTACACCACCACCATCAACTACACCACCATCATCATCAACTACACCACCATCAACTACACCACCACCATCAACTACACCACCACCATCAACTACACCATCATCATCAACTACACCACCACCATCAACTACACCACCACCATCAACTACACCACCACCATCAACTACACCACCACCATCAACTACACCACCACCACCATTACCAAGAACGGCCCCATCACTACCATCATGAACATCAGTACTAACACCACCATCATCATCAACACAATCACTTACCATCGGTACCACCACATCGGTTCCACCATCACCAGCACCTTTACGGCTGTGCTGTGCCATGATGTTATCGTTGCTTTACATCGTTTGAATTGGTGACAGGAATGTAACAATGAAATCAGAGTTGATAAATGTGTTACTGATTTACCCTATGATTGGTTAACCATGGTGACTCATTTATCGTCTACTTATTAATCTGTTTTCTCTCACTTCCATCACTGAAGTGGGTGAGGTGGAATGAGAGCAGAGAGGGTCTGTAACATCACCAATCTGAAGATCCCTGGTGTGGAAGCTTCCCCATCTGGTGGCACAACAGTGACATCACAAGTGCACTCTACTTAACCATCGTTAATTTAACATTTATTTTTACCAGGTAATGCCCACTGAGCTATGTAGCTCTTTTTCAGAAGCCACAAATGAAAGCTCAACGAAGTGGCTTATCGTCACGTGGAAATGTTTATATTCTTTGGTGATATCGCATTGGCAGTAGTGCTCAAGCACAACATTCGTTATTGACAATTGTTTATTTTTTTTGGAACTTAAATAGCTTAACACATTTCTCCAGTCAACAAGATTCATCATTTAATGTGTTGATTAGGCCACGGAATGATTCTGGAAAAAAAATCTGTAATTAAGACCCTCCACCAACTAACAACATCCACACAAATTGAAGAAACATTTTCTCAACAAAATATAGTAATTAGATGCGCAACGTTTCGCTTGAAACTGCGTCGAGCATAATCAGGACAAGAACCATGAAATCGGGAATAAAATCTAGGAAGTTGTAATAACCGTGTCACCTTACCGAGCATCTTAAATATGTGTAATGGTTGTTCCTGTGAAGCCAATCAGATTAACTAAATATTAAACACAATTTAATTCCTAATTTTACTTGTTTCTCTCCTTCAAAACGTTGATTCCTTAGATGCGTTTAAGTCTGGTCTGAAGACTCGCTGGTTTTCCTATGCATTCAAGCGACACCTCACTCCTTGCACTCTTGTCCCTTCGTACATTTTTTTTTCTTCCATTCATGGTCTTGTTTTTACCATGACTGTAATTTTAGTTTGAAGCAAAGTTTTTGTGATGCATCTTGAGTCGCGGTGGCATTTTGACGCTTTGTAAGTTGAAATTGCATTTACCTGCCGATCAAACAAGTAATGTGTCTGTGTTGTCGCTGCGCGTGTGTGTGTTTTGTATGTCTGCAGCTGTGTCATTGCTAGGGCAGCTATGAGCCATGGGCTACGAGGTGACTCGGTTTGAAGGAGGAGTGGATGAGGAGCTCATCTGCCCCATCTGCAGTGGTGTTCTTGAAGAACCTCTGCAGGTAGGTAAATCGATTTGGAGGTGACCTTCGTAAACAGGTCAGCAAGGAATGTGGTGGCCAGGTAGCTCGCAGGTGGAGATCGCTGAGCTGGAACCGCTGAGATACCTGGGCTCCCATCAGTTCCTGTGATTAAACTGGTTTCTCAACTTTTGTGAGTTAGCGGTCTCAGTCCATTTACCAATAACTACTGTACCAAAAAGATGCATGCAATACATTGTATTGTATTTCTTTCTGCCCTTAATTGAGGTATTTCTAGCCCTGGGAATTAAAGACGTTTTTTTGACTGTCATGTGACGAACATCACTGTAGCAGAGCAGGCGAGCTATTGCTTCCTTCTACTAAGTGGATGAGAGACCACCTGAAAGGATGTCAGAAATAGTTCTGTAGTATCCACTTCTATTGGCTGTTCATTAACACAGCGTTCCGAAAGCATTCTCCGTCTCAATACATGATACTGATATCACAAACATTTGGGGGTAATGGCCGACATGTTTTGTGATAGGCGTGAGTAGGTGGTGAGAATGTGGCAACAGTAGAGGAGGTTGTGTATATTCGGTAGTTATTTGGCATGAAGTTAGCAATCGACTCATCAATTAACCCTTTCTCGTTCCGATGTACGTATGTGTACTTCATCAGTGTGTCTTCCGATTCTGTTCCACTGACGTGCGTGTCCGTCATCGGAACGAAACTTTATCGGTACCGATCCTCCCACAAGGCCGTTCGGGAGGGTGTGCGGCAGAGTCTGGCGCCAGCTATCCTAGAGTGCGGTTGTGTCTTTACGGTTCTCTGCGGTGAGCACAATGTCTTTAAAAACAACGGCGCTACTTCGCCTCTAAATAATATTAACGCTGAGCCGCTTGCAATTTGCAGACATCTCGGAACGGGAAAGGGTTCAAATACCCATATTCTTTGGTTCTTTCGGTAAAGTCACATCGATAGAAAAAAAAAAGTGAATACCAATAAAAACCACGACGTTTCGATCGCAAGACAAGCGGTTGTCATCAGGAAAAGGGGGGTTAGTCTCTAAACGCAAACTGTTTATAAAGGTTTAGAGATGGGCGTAGCCCAAGTGTGTCAGCAGCATGGGCAGGGCAGCTTATGTTAATGTTGGAGAAAACAACTAAGCCGGCAGTGGGTCTCCACCAAAAGGGCCTCTTGGCAATCATTGCACCTCGCTCCACACACCCACACTGCTGACGGTGGAAGTTGACAAGAAAACACAAATCAAGTCATGACCCAAAGTTGTTGATATACTGATGCCTACCTGATTCCCACCACCATCATCCCAGAATAATTCCCTCATCAAAACGCTATACCATAGAGCTCAATGTATCTCCGACCATGCACACCTGACCAGTGAACTCAAACACGTACACCAAGCTCTCAAGGCGAATGGATATTCTGACTACACAATCCGCAAAGCCATCAGTTTGTTTGGATCACATGATCCAAACAAACTTTGTGTAAGTTGCATAATCATTCACATTATTTGTTTTTAACCTTGTTCATTATAAATCTTTATTTTTACCCAGGAAATGCTCAATGAGGGTTAAGACTTTTTTTTCCAAGAGAGTCATGCTAAGTTTTAAGAACAGGAGACAATGTGGTTATGCGTTTCCACATCGAGTAATTTTGTGGCGGTTTAAAATATTTGGTCAACCTGGACTGTGAAGCCGACATACATGGCCATAGTATTTTTAGAATAACGCCTTGGGATCTCTGACGTCCAATGTGAAGCCGGTATGGTTGACCACAATATTAACCAGGGCGGCCGAGCGGCTTGAACCACCGATGAGTCACGTTTCTTACGTTTCTTCACTTAATTTTAGGGGTTGGAAAGGTGGGGCGGGGAACGTGGGGAGCAGGGCAGAGGGGATGAAGGTCGGGTCGTTCTCTGGGCTCAATGTCGCCTTTTAATTTGACTTCAAAGCCACGTCTGAAACGTGTTTGAAAGCGAGAGGCGTTTGCTTCTTGGCTTGCATGTTCTTTGAAGGCAAGGTCTGCAATGTTCCAACCTCTGGCAGTGTGCTACTGCACCAGATGGCTTACAGTGCCTGCGTCTTGCTCTTTTAATACATTTTCCTATAGTCTCCCGATTGCAGTGCTACTATCTGCGTCGTGTCACGAGACACGCGCCCGTTCAAAACCCTTTTAGCAACCAGTGTCGGAGAACAGCCCAAGAAGATGCGTCAGCAGGGCTACGACTGAAGTCTCCTCAATGGGCCTCGTTATTCCAACTCTGCGTTTGCTGCATGCCAATCGGACAGAAATCCTCCATAATAATGGTCGCGAAATGCCTACGTGTTAAACAGAAAACTCCCAATTGTCGGAGCTCAAAGAGACTGAATTAATGTCTAAAACCCAGTTTTGTGTGTTCACTTACAACCCCGCTTTCCAGTCCACTGCTGGATGAGGGCTTGTCCACACCATGTGGGGGTTTATCGGACCATACTTCACCACGCTGGCCAGTGTGGGTTTGTGAAGGCAGGGAGCAAAGATGTGGGAGTATGGTAACAGTACAACACTTAATGTTTGCTGCACGTCACTCTGCTGACAACAGTAGCCTATAACACCTGTTATGCATGGTAGTCACCAATCAAGCATTATCCAGGCTTAACCTTGTTTATCCTCCAGGGTGCAAATGATAAAATTGTCTCATTGAGTAGAGCCATAGAGCAACATCGTTCCCTACAGGAAAACTACTGCTGACTGTAATCATTTGTGAAACAATAGTGCCTTTGTGATAGCCTCACGCCTTAAGAATGGCGGAAATACCAGATGTACCGAGGATAATGGTCTGGCGAGATGGCGCTCATTCCGTGCGATTTTATAATCGGATTGGTTAATAATCAGATGTTTGTTTCAATCGTGTCATTCGTGCAAATATCGTGAAATGCTGGAGAGTTTGCAATGAGCACAGATTTTGCATCGGGGCGAGGGAAGCCACAGACATGGGGCAAGGCAGCCAGAAGTGATGTCAGCTGTTGCCAGCGCTTTGTGGTCCTTTATTTGAATGTTTGGCCAACAGGTTTTATGGGTTTTTATGCATGTGGGAGTAAACCAGAATACAGGGAGAAAACCCAGGTATGTGAGGGGGATAACACACGATCCCTGTACGGGCGGAAATGAGTCCACTTGCTGTACTGCCATCACACCCTGGCAAGCCAGGAGGTGGCAACGTCAGCTCTCGCGGGTAGAGAGGGAGTTTCGTGAATTTGGGCGCCGCACATGGTGTGTAGTGATATCGCGCGAATCGCTACGAGCCCAGCAACCTAAGTTATTCCACTTGGAGCCAACATCTGTGACAAGTATATGAACCGGTCCTGGACCAACCATAGGTCAACTCAGCCTTAAATGAGTATCTGGTGCGGTATGTAAACGTCAGCACTGGGGCGTGGTGCTGGCCACCTATCGCCTCGAGCGCCACCACCGATTAGCATGGTTGGCTACGTACAGTGCGAAAGAAGTTTAACATACATACATAATACAGGTTTTTTGGGTTAGGTCGCGTAAATATATAAATGTGTCGTTAAAACCCGCCACCACCCGACACAGCCTATTAGTAAGGTTTGACACGTAAACAGAGCATGCCAATTCGTTACTAGTATGATATTGGTCACGATAACCTAAGTGTTATACATACATACGTTGACAGCACTTGCCCCAACAGTCGGTTGTTAAGGCTATACCGAGGATCATTGTAGGATGGTGACATGGCCCAGTGATAGTGCGTTCGCTGCTTGTTGCAGAGGTTCGAATTCGGTCGGCCACTCTGGTTATTACTGCAGGCATATTTACCATGAAATATGCACCAACTACTTCACAGTGGACATTAAAGATCTCGTGATATGAATTGAAAAAGTAGGCCATGGTCCAAATTTGTCAAATCTTACAAATTACTTCCAAATTTCTCGATTGCGATTGGACATAGTAATATCACCCCTGCTGTGAAACAACTGCAAGCTATGTAAAAACATGGTTCCGTCGTGGCAGTCTTGCACTGTAAGAATTGCGCGGGTACCAAATGTTCTCAATGATAAATTGTTATTATTTGTCTTTTGTGTGTTGCGTGTGTGTTTTGCCCAGGCCCCGCAGTGCGAGCATGCGTTCTGCAGCGCCTGCATCCACCAGTGGCTCCTGCGGCAGCAGACGTGCCCCGTGGACCGCAGCGTGGTGACGCCGGCGCACCTGAAGCCCGTGCCGCGCATCATGCGCAACATGCTGTCCAAGCTGACGATCCGCTGCGAGAACGCGCCGTCGGGCTGCACCGCCATGCTGCGCCTAGACCTTCTGGCGTCACACCTCGCTGACTGCGAGCACAACCCCAAGCGGCCCGTGCCGTGCGAGCAGGGCTGCGGGTAAGCAGTCCGCAGCAGCAGGGGTGCGGGTAAGCAGTCCGCAGCAGCAGGGGTGCGGGTAAGCAGTCCGCAGCAGCAGGGGTGCGGGCAAGCAGTCCGCAGCAGCAGGGGTGCGGGTAAGCAGTCCGCTGCAGCAGGGGTGCGGGTAAGCAGTCCGCAGCAGCAGGGGTACGGGTAAGCAGTCCGCTGCAGCAGGGGTGCGGGTAAGCAGTCCGCAGCAGCAGGGGTGCGGGTAAGCAGTCCGCAGCAGCAGGGCTGCGGGTAAGCAGTCCGCAGCAGCAGGGGTACGGGTAAGCAGTCCGCTGCAGCAGGGCTGCGGGTAAGCAGTCCGCTGCAGCAGGGCTGCGGGTAAGCAGTCCGCAGCAGCAGGGGTACGGGTAAGCAGTCCGCTGCAGCAGGGGTGCGGGTAAGCAGTCCGCAGCAGCAGGGGTGCGGGTAAGCAGTCCGCTGCAACAGCAGCAGCAGCAGCAGCGCCCTCGATGACCCTGCCGCTCACTCCGTAAGGATAATGGGTTCCCTCCGGGTTCTCCGATGTCCTCCCATAGCCGAATGCACGCGATTTTATTGGCGTTGGGCAAACATCCTCATCCAGGAGCCTCCTGAACAAGAGTCCTCTGACTCAGTGTGGCTTTCCTGGATAAAGAATTAAATATTATTTATATATCTGTGTGTTAAACGCTTGTACACACGGAATTTTAATTACAGGGTGCTTCAAAAACACTTATATGGGACTATCGTTTTTAATGGAAAAAGAACGGATAATACACTGTAACATATGTTAATGTCTTCAAAAAGTCAAAGGTGGTCTCCAGAGCCTGGAGGCACATTTCTTGTGATATTGTTACAAATTCTCAGAAGTGTTAAAAACAAATGTAAGCACCCTGTAGTTTAACTACTTGGACGCGAAGTACTCTTTAGTGAGAAATTATGACGAATGCCATGAACCCGGCAACCGTACATTACTCATCGATTTCCTACTCTCCATAGCAACAACTTATTACGTGGCTTGACGTTCAAATGAATTATGAATCATTGGAAATTTGTAATTGTTTTCACTTATGCACAAATTCCAACAGTGCCTTAATTTTTGTATGTAAATAAAATAGACTGCCGCTTAGTTCTTAGCATCGGAATCAAATGAATTGGTGCGGCACCTGTGAACGCGAGCCCCGTTGACACCAGCCTCGTGAACGCCAGTCCCATGAACGCGAGCCCCGTGAACACCAGCCCCGTGAATTCGACCTCACATGAACGCGACCACCGCGAACGAAACCCCCGCGAACGCGACCCCCTTGCGCACAGCGTTGGCGTTCCCCCCTGACGTCCACGATTTGCGTCCTCAGGCTGATCGTCCCCAAGGACGAGATGAATGGCCACGTGTGCGTGCGAGACCTCCGGGCCCTCGTGCTCACTCAGCAGCACAAGCTGAGCGACCTGGAGAAGATGGCGGCGGAGCACCGGCACCAGCTTGCCGAGCAGGTGGGGGGCACGCACACAAAGACAAAGGTGCCCCCCGTCGCCCACCCAGGCTTTTGGGGCAAGTGCTGTTAGCGAGCGCCGATGAATGCCGACACGGTGCACGAGGGTGTGGGTGGCAAGCACTACGCCCGGCCACCTTTGTCTCCCCAGTGTTGTCACATGCCGCACTGGGTATACGTTTAAGGCTGAGTCGACATAGCGGAAGCCCAAGACCGGTTTCATACATTCGTTACCGATGGTGGCTGTGAGCGGAAATTTAACTCGGGCGGCTGGGTTCGTAGCGCAGTGTGCAAACCACTGCCCCACCATTGGCACGCTCAATTCACGCACTCATTGGCAGGCACTCGCTCGCACGCATTCAAGCACACAAGACACGTGAGCTAAGTCACGTCCACACACATACATGCACAGCCAGGCAGACACACATACACATGCAGGCAGCATGCACACACAGGCAGGTGGTCACGCACGCATTTAAACACGCATGCGCACGCAGACGTACGCACATGTATAGGCGTTCACGCACGTACTTATACACATGCTCAGGCTAACACACACACAGACTGTTGGGGCAAGTCTTTGTTAATGAGCACCTATGAAGGTCGGCACAGCACACGAGGGAGTGGGTGGCCAGCACCACTTCCGACCGCGGTTGTCTCCTCAATGGTGATGTTTACACACCTCACCTGGTACTCATTTGAGGCTGAGTCGACCTAGGGGAGTCCCAGGACCGGTTCAGATAATCGTTGCTGATGTTGGCCGTGAGCGGGAATCGAACTCGGTTCACCGGGTTCATAGCGCAGCGCGCTAACCGCTACACCGCCGCTCCCCACACGGACAGACAGACAGGCACATGCCATCACTTTAGTGCAGGCAGGCAGTCGCTCCCATAGACACATTCTCACTCGCTGTACAGCTAAGCCACCTGGCTGGTTTGTGAGACTACGAATTCTCTCAGTGTAACACTTTCACGTGTGTGATCTAGATGTGAGTTTGTGTGCCGTTCATTGCAGAAGCGGGAGATCCAGCTGCTGAAGGAGTACATGCGGGCCCTGAGGAACTCCACCGCAGTCCCACGCAGCATTGAGCAGCCCTCTGAGCAGAACGAAGTGTTGGGGTGAGAAATCGGTGATCCTGACTCGAACCATAGCCCTAGCATAACCCTAACCTAACTCTCACCATTGCCTGAGCCTAACTCTAGGCCTATCCTAATTCTTACCCAACCGTAGCCCTAGCCTATCTCTAAACGATAACCCCAGCCTACCTCTATCTCTAGCCCTAACATAACCCTGAACCTAGCCCAAACACTAACCTAACCATAACTATAGCACAAGCCTAACCCTAACTTAACTCTAACCACAGTATATTAAATATAAATGTTTAATAGAGCTTACAATGTATGAATATTGCGCACTCGTGATAACGTAGTTTATAAGCGTTGCGCGTTTGTAAATATACTTCCTAGTCCCAACCTAACCCCTAACCTAAACCTAGCCCAAAACTAAGTTTAACCCTCACCTATCATTCATGAACTGTCCCTAACAATAACATAACTGTCGCATTGCTGTGTGTTTGTGCTGTATATTGCTGACCGATTGTCCTCTTGCTGCTGGGGGTCTTGTTCTCTGTTGGAGGGTGTCTATGCTGGCTGCCTGCCCAGTGTCTCCAGTCTTCCCGGCCGTCTGCGCTTACTGTTGGGTGTTGATGCCTCTGTTTGCTGAGTATCCGTCCGTGCTCGCCGCTGGGAATGTCCTCTTTTGCTGGGTGATTGCTCAAGCTGGAGGTCTTGTTCTCCATCACTGGGTGGTTCTCTTTGTTGCTGGGTGTCCTTTGGTCACTGCAGGTTATTGTCCCCTGTGTTGCTGGGCATCTGTGGTCACTGATCGGTGCTTGTGCCTTGAAAGGCTTCTGTGCCGTGTTGCCGAGTGGTGCCCCGTGTTGCTCGGCGTCTGCTCGCTGCTGGATGTCCTCTGTGTTTGCCGGATGCCCGCAACTCGTTGCCGTGTGTTTTGATCCCTCTATCGTTGGGCGTCTTGACTCACCGCCGTGTGTCCCGTTTCTCGCCCGCGCGCTTCCGCTGCCCTCCGTCCCGTCCCGTCCGTCCGGCCCGCCCGGGCCGCCCGCGGCTGCCGCCGCAGGTGGGTCAACGCGCTGCAGCCGGCGCGCGTCACTCGCTGGGGCGGCATGATCTCGACGCCGGACGCCGTGCTGCAGGCCGTCATCAAGCGCTCGCTGCTCGAGAGCGGCTGCCCGCTCGCCGTCGTCACGGGCCTCATCGAGAACTCCCACGAGCGCAAGTGGCCGCCGGGCCTGAGCACGCTGGAGACGCGGCAGATGAACCGCCGCTACTACGAGAACTACGTGACCAAGCGCGTGCCGGGCAAGCAGGCCGTGGTGGCGATGGCGTTGGAGAACCAGCACATGGGAGACGACATGATCGTGGAGCCGGGCCTCGTCATGATCTTCGCGCACGGGGTGGAAGACGTATAACGCGTGCGTGTGTCGGGCAGAAAGGGCCGGGCGCTTGCGCGCTCGCTTTCCGGCCGTTCAGCGGACATCTGCCACCGGGGGGCGTCCCCCTGATGCTTGGACGGATCCTAGAGGTACTTTTTTTTATATATACAGTTGCTGGGCACAGGCCCAAAGGCACCATAAGATCAAATGGCCAGCAACAAATTGTCACTATCAAAATTGTAATAGATGAGGGTTTCTTGGATTGAGTTAGCGATTGTGAAAAGAGGCGATGGGAGGAAATTCTAAAGTGAAGCAGTGGGGGGGGATGGGGGGAGCAGGAAGAGAGTTGCAGCGACCTGCAGTCTGGTGGTTGAACGCAGAGTGGATGAGAAGAAGTGGTCAGTCTGGAAGACCAGATTCCTCAACATGGCTGGAGGAATCAATGTCCGAATCACTGCAATGGAGGCACGGTATAAATACTGATGATTTATGAGGAAGGATTGAGCCGTTATCTCTGGAGTCTAACTTCAAATAATAATACAAAATATTTAGAGAAAAACAATTTCCCCACCATTTTCCAATCGTGCCATCGGCGTTGTGAGGCGAGACAAACAGATTCCCTTCGGGGTTCTTCTGCCAGCGAAGGGGTCTCGCGTCACGTCGACTCGGAGAGCGGCCCCCTCCCCGAAGGTGACGTCGCAGAGCCCCGGCACAGGGCTAGGCTGTTCAACTACCACTTCAGGATCCAGTTTAATCACAAGCGGCTGCAACCTGGGATTGAACCCGGGTCCCCATTGCTGCCGGCTCAGTGCTCCAACACGGCTGTTATCCCTCTGAGCCACTTGGACACTTCCAGCCTCGAGAGACTTCTCAAGAATGTGTGGAGCCTCACAATGACTTACTTCTTGCAGCTCTGGGACGATGGTTTGAGGGTTTTTTTGTTTCCAGAAGCAACGTCAACGGTTTCAAGTAAAATGTCAAAAGAAAGGGAAAACCGATACCCAGCAAACTACACTACCGGCCATCGCGAGGTCAGGGAGCGACCCTCGGCGTGACGCGTCTCACCTGGTGACATGAAGGTCACAAAAAAACTCAACAAAATATTCTGAATGCTGAAATAAAGTTCTATTTTCACAGAAGCTGTGGTTTTAGTAAATGCAATGTGAAATATGATACATGACATGTGGTGGAGAGGGAGAAGGTTTGATTTCGATGAATACTTTGGGGAAATATATTTAAATTTGTTTAACGTTTCCTTATTTGTATCATTATTTCCCATGTGTCAGTGTCAAATAATTTGACTTCTGTAACCCACAGATTTCTGTCTTTGTCCTGTAACTTCCAACGCGAACGGATCTCTTGTTGCTTCAGATTATCGTGGCAAGTGCTGCGAGCGTAAGCGAAACACGTCGTGACTTGGTTTGGTTATTTAAGAACGCATCCGTGTAAAGTGATATATGTGCTTGAGTGGTGAGAGTGATGAAAATTTAAATGCAGAACACTTGAGAGCGTCAGGATAAAAGCCTCAATTTTACTCGAGAGTTTCCAAGTTTCGTCTCATGCTGGCGCCCACCAGCGTTGAGTTTTAACTTTGTTTTGTTCAACTGGGCGAGTACTCTTGAGTGGCAGCGTTGCCCTTGCATCTCAGCCTGATTAAACTGCACAACCCCAGCAGGGATGCACTTGTCAGAGTAGGGACAGGATTTCCGAGTGGAGATATATTCTACTTCGCTGCGTGTGAACATGAAAAATAATCTAAAATTAAAAACGAAATACTTTGGCATAACGTTAGATTGCGATAAGTGTGTATCATTTGCCCACGAAGCTTTCGAAATACTGGCCATTCTTTCCATCCTGTTTGAGTCGGAAATATAATCATCACCATCCAATAATCATCAGTCATGTTTGTTTCTGATTGACAGCGTCGTCGTGATCACCATTGCTTTAACAGGGTTGTCCTGATGATAGTTCCACAATTCTCGATCTTCCAAAAGTGTCTTTGATGTTACTCCAATTTACCCCTCCCTCCCAAAACGTCCCTGTCTTTTCATTCCACATTTCCCTCGACCTGCCCGCGTATCTCCCACCCCCATATGCCGATCCTGGTCACCTCTCTTCATTCTCGTGTCTGGACCACTTCAGTCTGAACTTTTTGCACCCACGTGATTTTAGTACAAACTCGCGCAACCTCCGGCGGCGTGGTTTTCATGTCCAAACACATCTCTCGTGCCGCTTATTGGGTGCATGGTGGCGCTTAAAGTAACACACCGAAGTCTGCTCAATAGGTCATTTAACAAAGTGGCTCACCTTTGCACTTAAGTAAACAGTGAACTATTAAGGAAATGTCAGTCACCTTATTGTTTTGCTATTGTGATGCAGTGTTCATGCAAACGGCGGTGAGAGTTGTATCGTTTGTGCTTGTGCACCACTGCCAACACGGTCCCTTCGCTCGGTGCTCAACTACATTGGCCGTTCGTAGAACACAACCAAACACTCAAGTTATATGTATTCTTAGGAAGGAGTCTGCTCAAAGGAGTGTTTGAAAGCAATGCTGCTGTGGGCAACAGTAGTACAAACTGTGAGCATGTGACGATTCAAATCGGTTCTTACGCTCGCGAATATCTGCATCAAACACTGCCCTTGAGAATGTTTTCACGACGTCTGTAGCATGACATGGAAACGACACGACTGACTGGCACGTTCTTGCCACCCGCTATTTATTAATATATTTATTGTTGTCATCATCGTCGTCATTATTCACTTTACATCCCAGTGCAGAAACGGTACAAACGAGGCAGTTAAGAGAAAAACACAACAACGAGTAGGAGGTGTAAACAACGGAGCGACGTCAGCCGAAGCGGCACCGTCGAAGGGGGTAGTCGTGCTGCACGTGGGCGCAGCAGGCGGATTGTCGGTAGCCGGCAGGAGTCGCCGCTGGTGGTGTTGGCGCACTCGTGTGCATCGCACGAGTTGCGAAAAACAAGGACGATTGAACACTTTAGACGTACATACACTCGTGGCTTGAGTACGACAATTCTCAACTCGGTGATCCACTTCCCTCCTCGTGCGGTCACTCGTCAACACCAGAGATGTACAGAGCGCGCGCGCGCGTTTCATCAGCAGCCCGCATATACATTTCCACACGAACTCATGTAGCGATAGTGTTTGTTGCATATGGAGGTGAGCAACTCGGGAGGTTGGGAATAAAGCTTGGCAAGAAAGTGCCGCGTAGAAGTCGGGAGAGAGGGAGGTGGTGGCGGGTGGGACGCGTGTTGCAGGGCGCAGGAGGAGGGGACACCCGGGGCGGACGTTAGCGCAGTGGCGAGCCCGAGGTGAGCGACAGAGCGAGGCGCAAGACCTCCAGCCCTGCGATGTCCTGGCGTGTTGATGCGACTCGAGGAGGAGTGGGTCCTTCGGAGGTCGGGTGGCGATCATTTGGCAACGGTTTGCAGTGCAGTGACTTGCAGCGGAGCAAAGCAATAGCGACGCCTTTATGGGTTGTGCAGTTCGATTGGGTGATGGAGAGAGTTGAACAACGCTGACCAACGCTAATAGGGAGATGATGCCGCGCATAATATCTCGTCGGAAGGTGCAATTGTAACCCAGCTGCACCTGCAACTATTAGAACTTGGGCTTTTCCCCTGATAGCCCTTACGGTTTTATGTGTTTTGTACGATATATGCACACGCGCACATATGTTACAAGGTAGAAGTGAAATATGAACTATTCTGTGGAGCTGAATGAATGATCGATGTCTGAGGAATGCCCCGTGTCCATACACATGTTCCGTGTCCATGAACTATGTCCAAATACAAGCGGTGATCAGAAGGCCTCTGTCCCGATATTGTTAGAAGGATTAGCATTTCGAAGCGGAAGAGTCAGTTTCAGCTTTTGCATTCGTTTGAAATAATCACTCTTGTTGTGTGTTCATCAAAAAACGAGACATCTGAGCTGAGAGCAGGCCTATGTTCACAATGAAGCCATGCTGCCACAGGAAGTCCATACTGACGATGGAATCCTTAGAATAATCTACCACATTTGTGTTCCATGGTTAAGCGGTGGTGTCCAGGATTTAAATACGGGAGGGAATCTTGAGATCCGTGTTTGGGCACCCTCCACCATTTACAATTTGTGAATGCCAATTAAATTCGTAATCTCCTGAAATTCCTCTGCATAATTTGATCATAAGGAATATTTCCGAGTCTGTCGGCCCTTTTACGTGTTTCACAAGCGTTAACAACCGACAGTTTTGTGGTAAACAATGTCTCTGGTTGCCCAGAATCTTGACCATCAACTAGAAGTGAACCAGAGTACGGGCATGGTCAGGTGCTGCAGGGAAATCCAGGACCTGTTTGTGACAGGTTTGTGGCAGTATATGATATAGTGGCTTTCCTTATCTTGAATGCAGAATCGAAGGCCAGAGATTTAACTGGAAACAATGGATTCGCCTCTTCTGACCTCTTCTGGCAAAGTGATAGCCTCTGGTGAGATGCAGTTAAAGCCATTCCGACTTTATAACTCACAGGCTTCACCACAGGCTGTGCGGGTTCTTCTCAAGCCCCCACCCAGCTGGATAAACAAAGCTGGGTGGGGATGATTCAAGCCTTGGAATATTGTAGGACCAAGTGCATTGCACGTCAAGGGAAAGGTGTAAACAACCGTTTCGTTAAGGTCACTTTGTTTTCCCTGTCAATCGGAATCAGAATATGTATTTATACTGGAGGAATCCGATGAGCTATAAAGCTCTTTAACACGTCCAGTCGGTGCGCGTCAGAACGTTACAACAACAAATAGTACAAAAACACGATAGGAGTGCCAAGTATTGTAAAGGAAAACAAATCACTTAAACATATACAACTAAAAGTAAGCTGTGTTTTATCTTGCCAGGTAAAGCCCACTGAGCTGTTAGCTTATTGTTCAAAAGCGGCCTGGCCACAAACGATAGCTCAACGATGTGGCTTATGTTGACATTTATATCATAAAAATAATCTAAACAATCTAGGTTCTCTATCACTCCTTGTATGCGTGACTGAAAAACAAATCGCTCCAAACAGCTGAACACTTGCTCCTCGTTCACAGACCGCTGCTGGTTCACAGATTCCGCTATCAGTAGGCAAGTTGTTCACAGTCAACAGTGGTAAAGGTAATAATCATCTCTCTACCCGTTGATGATTGCCATTTACGTACCAATGAGGCTATTTACGTCGCTTGTTCATTTCGCTCTACACTGACGTTGCTCATCATTTACGTTTGTTTACTGCGAGTTGGCTGGCAATTGTCAGAGGCTGCCTGCTGCTGCTGCTGGAGCAAAGTTGTAATGTAGAGAGATCCGATGCCGAAATGATTAAAGGTATCCTGGGAGTCATGCGGATTGTTCGACTATACTTCACCACTCCGGTCGGTGCGGGTTTGTGAAGGGAGCACTTCAGACGCCCCACCGTCTCGCGTCTCACCCAGTGCCTGGTTGGTGCGTGGGTGTGCCTGGTTGGTGCGTGGGTGTGCCTGGTTGGTGCGTGGGTGTGCCTGGTTGGTGCGTGGGTGTGCCTGGTTGGTGCGTGGGTGTGCCTGGTTGGTGCGTGGGTGTGCCTGGTTGGTGCGTGGGTGTGCCTGGTTGGTGCGTGGGTGTGCCTGGTTGGTGCGTGGGTGTGCCTGGTTGGTGCGTGGGTGTGCCTGGTTGGTGCGTGGGTGTGCCTGGTTGGTGCGTGGGTGTGCCTGGTTGGTGCGTGGGTGTGCCTGGTTGGTGCGTGGGTGTGCCTGGTTGGTGCGTGGGTGTGCCTGGTTGGTGCGTGGGTGTGCCTGGTTGGTGCGTGGGTGTGCCTGGTTGGTGCGTGGGTGTGCCTGGTTGGTGCGTGGGTGTGTCTGGTTGGTGTGTGGGTGTGCCTGGTTGGTGCGTGGGTGTGCCTGATTGGTGCGTGGGTGTGCCTGGTTGGTTCGTGGGTGTGCCTGGTTGGTGCGTGGCTGTGCCTGATTGGTGCGTGGGTGTGCCTGGTTGGTGCGTGGGTGTGCCTGGTTGGTGCGTGGGTGTGCCTGGTTGGTGCGTGGGTGTGCCTGGTTGGTGCGTGGGTGTGCCTGGTTGGTGCGTGGGTGTGCCTGGTTGGTGCGTGGGTGTGCCTGGTTGGTGCGTGGGTGTGCCTGGTTGGTGCGTGGGTGTGCCTGGTTGGTGCGTGGGTGTGCCTGGTTGGTGCGTGGGTGTGCCTGGTTGGTGCGTGGGTGTGCCTGGTTGGGGTGTGGGTGTGCCTGGTTGGTGCGTGGGTGTGCCTGGTTGGTGCGTGGGTGTGCCTGGTTGGGGTGTGGGTGTGCCTGGTTGGTGCGTGGGTGTGCCTGGTTGGGGTGTGGGTGTGCCTGGTTGGTGCGTGGGTGTGCCTGGTTGGGGTGTGGAGGTCGTGGGTTCGATCCCGACCCTGATGACGCCTGCTGCTGCTGTGTATTTGGAGTTTGCGGTGTCACTCCACGTGGTCGTGCGGATTTTTCTCCGGGCCTCCGGATTTCCCTCCACATTTAGAAACATGCATTTGGAGCATTTGGCTGCTATACATTTCCACGTGATAATCCACTTCGTTGAGCTATTATTTGCTACGTAGCTCAGCCTTACCCGGTAAAATAAAAATAGTAGTGGTAGTAGGTAACTCAGAAGGTTGCGAGTTCAAATACTTTGATGTAATCATATGAGGACAAGCAACCCACCTCGTGAAAGACCTCACGGAGAAGGTCCCTGGCTTCGATTTTACGCGAAACATTCGGGAAACCAAAGACCCGATCAGCACAAAACCGCGCACAAATGCAAAAATGAACAACTCCCCGATGTGCTGCGACTGTGGTCACCGCTTCCACTGTGGTGATATCTGCACGTGTTTAACTTCCTCTTGTTCCACGTCTTCCTCCCCCGACATCCTCTGCTGAAGCTGCGTCCACAGCCCAAACTTGGGGCCCTCGTCGGCGACTCTCCTGCCGTGTCCAGCCACGTGTGGAGTCTGTCGCGTGGCGTGACTTTACCGAAAAAACTAAGAATATAAGAGGACACTTGTTGTGCCCGTGAATTTGGGCTCTCGCGGGGTGTTATTATCGTCGTGAGAATATTATTGTGTTATTTTATTTTATCAATTTATTATTTTATTCTCATTCTACGTGACTTTACCGAAAGAACCAAAGAAGATGTTATTATCAATTATTCATTTAGCGCTTTTTTATCAATCGTTATCAGTTATGCTCGATTTCTCATAACTTTATGGCAATCAGTATCGTTACTCGCTTATTTACTCGGATTTACGATGAATCTTATCGTAAACTGAACTTGCGATATTGCTAACATGTCTTACGTCGTTATTTACTCTGACCCCAGAGGTCCAAACATAGCAATGAGGGGGGAGCTCCCGTTGTTGTCATGACAACCTCACCTCCATTTCGTCACGTCAACCTATCCCTACTCCCTATCGTGATGACAAACTAACCCCACCCCCTGTCGTCATGACAACCTAACCCCACCCCCCCAATCGTCATGACAACCTAACCTCACCCCCTGTCGTCATGACAATCTAACCTCGCCCCCCTGTTATCATGACACCCCCCCCCCAACGCCCCTGACGACCAAACCCCCCCCCCCATCGTCCAGACAACCTAATCCCCCCTGTCGTCATGGCAACCGAACCCCACCCTCTCCATCGTCATGACAACTTAATCCCGCCCCCCGTCGTCGTCACGGCAACCCGGCCCCGCCCCCCTCCCCCTCTAAAGGAAGATGGAGTCGCGCGTGGAGGAGCTCCGCTCTCTGCAGAGGCTCGTGGGCGGCCCCGCGGCGCCGCTGGAGCGGCAGGCCGAGCGAGGGGTGCGCGCGTGAGAGAGACGTCGCGTGAGAGAGACGTCGCGTGAGAGAGACGTCGTCGTCGCCGCCGCCGCCGCGAGAGACGTCGCGTGAGACAGGAGGCGCACGGGGGATAGGGAGAGAGAGAGAGAGAGGGGGGTGGAAGGGGTTGGGGAACCCGCAGCTGGAAGTCGCCGGCCCGTGGCGCGGGCGCTGTGGGTCCGTGGCGACACGTGGAGCTCGCTCGGGCCCTGTCACCACTACTCTCTCTCTCTCCTCTCTATACCTTCATGACGCTCGTTGCCTTCAACACGCAATAACGCATTTCAGGAAGCTGTGATAGGCGACGTTTTGTGCAGTAGCCCTCGTGGGAGATTTTTCTGCCAATGGCCCTTAATAGCCACTCTACGGCGCTGAATCAGGGCCATTGCCCGAAGCGTCGCCAGTGTTAAGGCCACACGCAGAGTATTGTTGACGCGCGCTGTTTGGTGAATTGTGGTGGTGCACCGCTGCCAAAAGATTTTCCCTCCACATTTAGAAACTGGGGTTTGGATTATTCAGAGTATTTGGCTGCGATGAATATCGAACATGATAAGCCACTTCGTTAAACTATCATTTGTGGCCAGGTCGCTTCTGATAAATAAGCTAATAGCTCAGTGGGCTTTACCTGGTAAAACTAGATGGTTTAAATTTTAATTTAAAGCTTTCGTGACTGCAGGGATTCATATTATTGGTTCTTTCGGTAAAGTCGCGTAGAAGGGAAACAATAAAAATATAAAACAATAAAATTCTCTGGACGTTTCGACTGCAACACAAGCAATCATCAGGTGTGAAAACCACAGCAAGAAAATATGAAAAAAGTGGCGTTTTTTTAACGTTAGCACCACGGAGAGCGATTTGGCAGTTATTCAGATGGACGAGTCCATCATGTTCGGAAAAAAGGAGGGGGGAGACGAAAATAATGGATGCGGTCTGAAAGCCACCGTAAGCGTGAACAATCAATTAAGACCCCAAATGGTTTATCAAATCCTTCCAATGATTGCTAAGCCAGAATCCATCTTCTCGGTTGAAATTGTCTCTGTGTTTGTATATGTGGATAGCCTCATGAACAAATCTCTCATGGTAGCCAGATGGCTTACAAAGAACCTCTGTCTTGGAGAAGTCAATGTAATGTGAGCCTACTGAATTATAACAATGATCTGCCACGGCCGAGATCCTACCGTGTTTTAGGTCTGCTTTGTGTTCACGAATGCGGTCCGAGACATGTCGTTTGGTTTCTCCAATGCTACGACCACAGAGGCAACTTAGTTTGTAGGCGCCAGGGTACTGTATGTCCGGAATCACATCTTTTTTAAAAATTATTTTATTGTTTCCCTTCTACGTGACTTTATCGAAAGAACCAAGAATATAAATAGTTTAACTTTTAATATTTGCTTACCTTTCCTATACTTTTCACTCCTATCGTGTTGTCTTTGTTGTAACTTTCTGACCCGCCCCAACTGAACATCTGTGAAATGGAGCTTTATATCTCACGGGATTCCTCCAGTTTAAATACATATTCTGATTCTAAAATAAGTAAGCCCTTTAGCATTGTGAACCACGAATATACATAAACGTGAATAATACATAACGCATACAGACAGCAGATTAGTCAAGTAAATATTAACCCAGGCGACACCGCTGTACAATAATATTGCACATGAACATACAGCCGAAGGAATACAGTGTCTACTTAATGGGCACTTCGCTTTGATATGATATGGTTCGGAAACTTGTACATTAACATAATACATGGAACAGAAACAACTGAAATCTCGTACGTTGAACTTCTTTCGCGCCGTACGTAGCCGACCGTGATAATCGGAGGTGCGGGGAAAGGACAACAAACTCAACACAACAAGCAAGATGGATATGATTCCAGCCAAGTCGTGAGTGTAAAGAATCACGGGGAGTCAGCTTGGAATGACATTGAGTGAACGCGAAGATAAGAACACATGCTGGGTCCAAAGACAATTCTAACGATTAGGCAAATGGCTTTTGGCAGGGCACATCGTGTTATACATCAGTCGGTCAGTAGCCGTTTCTTTATTGAAATGTCAGATTGAGACGGGTGATAAATGTGAGCGTTCGCGTGGACGACCTGGGTCGTGGCGACGTATGGCCAAGATTTATAACGGTGACAGCCAAGGGGTGGAATGCACAATCAGAATATTCATACTGGAGGAATCTGATGAGCTGCTATAAAGCTCTTCTTTCACGGATGTGCAGTCGATGCGTCATAAGGGCACGTCCGCCGAGGAGATGAAGCGATGAAAAGAAGCTCAGGTGCTAGGTGGATTATTACATCGCAGGATCGTGAGAGATGCGTTTATCCAGCAGTGGATGGATCACGGCAGATGACGATGATGAAAGCAGCCAGTAACAAAGGCAACCATAGATTAATTATTAACAGTCTGTTTGGGGCAAGTGCTGTTAGCAGCAGCACCACGCCAGACCCTCTTTGTCTCCCAAGTGGCGATGTTTATGCACCCCACTAGGTGCTCATTTAATGTTGAGTCGACCTAGGGGAGGCCCAGGACCAGTTAATATAGATTATTAAGACATAAACACATTCACACACTAACACGTCAACTTATATTAACACGGCAGAGCACAGCACCATAGATTAGTGCAGACAGCACACATGTACACATATGGTACACTGACAGCACATGCAACATAGCACCATCGTAAGCCATACATTAGCACACTTTTCCACAGCTCGCATTAGCACGGTGACGCTAAACCAGCAATATAGTGAAACATAGATTAATACGTCATGCAATCATTACATCACATTGAACTACTGTAATGAATCCATTCTATTACATTCATGTAGTATTCACTGTTTAATGTAGTTTGCTATGGTCCATGTAGTATGCTATGGGTAATGGTGAATGACTTGTGTTATGCTGAATGTAGCATTACCTTTAGGACTGCAATTATTTTCTCATTAGGCTTGTAAGGATTAATTTATTGCTATGTAATTAATGTAGATTATTACGCTTATGGTATAACGCTTTGCGATTCACATATCATTGTTTTATAATGATACCATAAATAATGTATGCATGCACACAATTCCCTTTAGGACAGGAATAGTGGAGAAAGATGACTCGGAAGTCAGACCTAGAGAGCCGGCGGTTTGACGTGCTGAACTGGGACGAGAAGGATTGTCGAGTGGACATGGAGATGATGGCCCAGGACAGGAATGAGTGGAGAAAGAGCACCGTGGAAGGCAAACTCCCACGTGAGTGGTGAAATTACATGAAGCTCTGGTCTCACAATTGTGTATGCGTGCCACATGTGCTGCAGGTACCCGTGCTGCACGTGGGAGATGGCTCCAGCGTCGTGGGGCTTGTGAGCTCCGCGTGTCACGTGGTGCGTGCGTCGGGGCAGTTGCAGCTGCTGGGGCTGGATGCCGGGGACCGTGCCGTGGTGCAGCAGTGGGCAGAGTACGCGGTCGCCCTGGAGCAGGGAAACAAGGACTCCTTGAAGACTGCCCTCCGGGTCAGAAACATGCACCAGGGTTGCCACCTTGCCGCCTAGGATAACCACCTGTCTGGGGATGGGCGTCTGTGTTTCCGTGGCAGGAATTGATGGAGTGCCACGATGGCGAGATGTTAACTCCCTCGCCCGGTATACAGGTCGTAGGTTCGATCCCGACCCTGATGCCTGTATATTTGAAGTTTGCGTGTTCTCCCCGTGATCGCGTGGATTTTTCTCCGGGTCCTCCGGCTTTTCCCTCCACAATTCGAAACATGCATTTAAGAGTATTTGGCCTGCTATAAATTTCCACGTGATAAGCCACTTCGTTGAGCTGTCATTTGTGGCCAGGTCACTTCTGAAAAAGAACCGTAGAGCTGAGTGGGCCTTGGTTAAATAAACAAAAAAATTGGTTGTTTTTGCTGCATTGCAATTTCAGGTTTTGCTTTTTTTCATTTTGGTAACTCAGGTCACTCTTGCACATTAGACTCATGCTGATCGAGTTGTCACCTTGGTTAAGCAAAATAAACTTCAAACTTGAACTTAGGTAAATTAAACCCGAACATAGTTCTCAGCATCCTAACATGAAATTCAACACAATACCGGTACCAGATCTTTGTCAAAATCAATTCATACCAACCCAAACACAACTGCCAATTCCTGGAATGTACGTAATTAAATCTGGATGTGTGCAAGATCTCATTTGGTTCATCAAAACCACAAGTGTTGCCTGGTTTGGTTAATCTACCACCCACACACAATTTTTCCTGCTTTATCCACCACCCGCATGCTTGCTCTGGTCAAGTTAATTCACCAATCATATTGGTGGTTTGTCCTGGTATACTCACTTGCTCTTTCCAGGGGTGCATTCAATTGGCAGAGCGCTCCAGAGCGATTTATTGTTGAACAACCTGTTAGCAGCCCAGAGCGCATTGTATGTATGGTGAGCTTTTTTCACACCGTACGTAGCCAACTGCTAATTAATCGGAGGTGTGGGGGAAGGACAACAAACTAAACACAAAAAGCAGTTAGAAAGAAATAGATTTTCAATATAGATGATTTAAAAGTGCATAGGTCCAGTGGCTTCCTAATATCGGCATGAAGAGCATTCCAGACGGCCACAAAATTGCATCTGAAAGCGCGCGATGATGCGGTGACCATCTTTGTTCGATGGCCACCCAAGAGCCGCTGCTGCGAGGATGACGACCGGAGTTCACGTGATGGGTTTGTTGAAATCCAGGCAATTGGAGGATTCGCTGCACCTTCCTGCAAACTCTCGGTTTCATATATGTGACGCGTGCGCTCATTAGCCTAGCCCGGTGTGAATCTCTCGGCCCTCTTCATGCACCGTTGGCCTCGTAGCGCCGTGGCAGAGCGCTCTGCCCGCTGAACGCACCCCTGCTGCTATGCCTACATGCGTGGACATAGCGCGGAGACTGCGTGAATGCTGTCATCTCGTTTTGTGCACCTGTTCTCCATCTTGTACATGCATGCCCTCGCCTTGTTTGCTCATCGCCTGCAGCGGCGTTCTTCATTGCAAGGCCCCGCAGGCCACTGGTGGCCCCTGGTGGCCTTTAGCGCGGCCCTTGATGTGCGGTCCCCGTCAATAAACAAATGGTGAAAACACTCCCCATCATCATCGTGCTGCTGTAAAACCCCCAATGGTTTCAAATGTGTGTTGGCCCTCACACTGGTGATGTCTTATCGGTGGAAAGTGGCCCCCCTCTTAAAATGAGTGAAAAACACTGGACTACCTTATTGGTCTTTGTTTACATCACGGTTTTACCAGACTGCAGTTCTTGTACCCATCGCAGCGTGCCATTCCAAGTTCAGTATTCAAATACACATTGTTACATGCTGCATGCACCTGATGATTGGTAAACACCTCCCATGTAAAGTAGAGAGTGCTATCTGATTTAGTGGAACATGCACACATATATTCGCACACACAGAATGTTCTTTGTCTTAACCTGAATCGGTGCTCTGTACACAATGATCATATGCTAATAAACAGACAAGAGTTTATCTTGCCACTTAAAAAAAGCCTACATTTTTTGTCTGCCGGTCCTTCGGTAACATTTACACAGACCAGTTTTGACTTTCACACGCTCATCAGCAGAGCCGAGCCTTTTTTTATCATCATACGCTGTCGGGATGATCTGTAATCGGTGTGCCACCTGCGCAACGTTGTGTCGTTTTAGGAGCTGAATGACTACCTCGCAGACCGGGTGTTCATAGTTGGCAACTATCTCACACTGGCTGACATCCTGCTCTACCACAGGCTGCACCCCGTGTTGGTGAGTTGGGGGTGGGAGTCGGCACGGAATAGATGGACATCGTTGCTCGGAATTGTGCGCGTGTGAATAATTTATACGTAATATTGCACATGGCAAAATCTTCGTTATTGCATTTCCCATTTCTTGAGTTTCGCCCCGCATCTGCCCTTTCCTCGTTTTAGGTCGCAAAAATTCGTTATCGGTACAACGTCAAATTTTCCCACTACAAGCGTTGCAATAAAACGTACTGCACGCGTTGTTACGTATTCCTATCCCTACATGTTCCGCGTGTGTTTTCTCCTACCTCGGTTTGTGCCACGGTGTGCGTTGGCGTGTGCGGCGTTTTAAGTCCTCGTGGCGACGCTCGGCAATCCGCGTAGCTTCTCTCCCACTGTGTAGCTCGTGGCACCGCATCTCCGGTACTCCGGTACTCCACGTTGTTGCACTACAAACCCGGCGACCCTGTGTTCGATTCCTGGCCACGGCTCATAATCGTTAGCGAGCGATGTCTGAACTGGCTCTAGGACTCGTATCGATTGACTCGGCCTTCAATGAGTATCTGGTGCAGTGTGTATTAACACCGCGGAGATAAAGGCAGCCAGGTGTTGTTGTTTTGTGATTTGCTTATCTTTACAATACTTTTCACTCCTATTGTGTTTTTGTATTGTTTGTTGTTATAACTTCCTGACCCGCCCCGATTGGACATATGTGAAAAAGCGCTTTGTGGTTCATCAGATTCCTTCGTACGGTGTGAAAGAAGTTCAACATACGTACAGGATTCTGAGCTGGCCACGTGTTGCCTGGTTGTATCACCCCTGCGTCTCCCCCTCTCTCACCACCCTATGCCCATTACCTTCCTCTGCTTGCCGGTCTGTCACCAGCTCCATCCACGGTTATCCTTCACAGCAGCACGTCCCACCAACCCCATGTGTCTGTGACTGTCGTGTCCATGAGGGTCCTCCTATTCTCTGGCCAGGTGTTTGCTCTGCATTTGCTACATTTTAATCATCGATCACTTTTGCTAAGGTTTGTTTTTCCAGTGATAAAGGACTCAAGATATTCATCAATCCATGTATATTTGCTCCAGTATAAATATTATAATTCTGAAAACCCGATGTGCACTGTTCCGGCCTTAGATATTCGCCTACGTAACAGTGTATGGTAGGCGATCTTAGTTTTGTAGATGGAGGGTGGTATGTATGCATGTGTTTGTGGAGGTGGGAGTAGTGTTTGTGTTTACAAACACATGGTTTGTGTATACAAGCAAGGCAGTGCTCTTCTATTTGCGTGTGTAAACAGAGATTGTTAGAATCTGTAGTGCATGTGCGTGTAAAGGTGGTCCATCGTGTTTGTGTTTTAATGAAGATGGTGTATATTATGTATGTGTTGGTGTGAATGGTGTGTGCCCATGTTTATGTGTATATTTAGAAGACATGTGTGTGCGTGCATGTGTGTTTTGTGGCGAGTGGTGGCGCAGTGGTTAGCACATTGCGTGACGAACCCATCGACCTGAGGTCGTTCATGGCCAACACCAGTGGCGAATATCTGAATTGATCCCGAGCCTCCCCGAGGTCGACTCGTTCTCCAATGAGTACCTGGTGCGATGTGTAAACATCTCCACCCGGGAGACAAAGGTGGCCAAGCCATGGTGCTGACCACCCACCCCCGAGTGTGCTGTGTCCTCATAGCTGCTCACTAACAGCACTTGCCTCAACAGTCTGTAAATGGCTTCACGGGAGGGATCTTTTGTTTATGTGAAGGTTTTTTTTGTGTACGTGTCTGTTTTCACACCGAGGGGAATAACGTGACAATGTTAGTGTCTGAGCTACCTGAATTTAAATCCTGGCCAAGACAAACAAGCTTAACGTACGAGAACCTGTCCTGGGTCTTCCCAGGCTCTCATGGTGGTGTTCAGACATCCGCACGGTACCAGCCACCGCAGCCCCCTCATCTACCATCCTCGCCTCAAGAGGCTCGCTGCAACACTTCCTTTGGATGTTTCTGTTGTTGTAGATGGAGGTGGTATGTGTTCAATTAATAATGCCAAACACAGCAGATGAGCCTCGTCCATAATCTACGAGGAACTTTGTGGACTCTTGTCTGTGAAATGGGGCTTTTATTAACACAAAAAATAAAAACAATTATTTCACCAGGTAAGGCCCACTGAGCTATAGAGCTCTTTTTCAGAAGTGACCTGGCTATAGCAAATGATTGCTCAACAAAGTGGGTTTCACGTGGAAATGTATAGCTGCCAAATACTCTAAAAGCAAGTTGATTCTAAGTGCGGAGGGAATAACCGGAGGACCCGGAGGAAAATCCACGTGACCACGGAGATAACATGAAAACCTTAAGCAGACAGGCGTCAGTGTTCGGATCGAGCCCACGACCTCATGTATGCCAGGTGAGGTAGTCAACATCTCGCCACCGTGCTGCCGGTGACGCTAATTGTGCTTTTAATTACAGGCAGCGCTCGGCGTGCAGGAGCGAGAGCAGCACGTGAACGTGTGCCGCTGGTTCGACAACGTCCAGCGATGGCCGCGAGTGAGGCAGCACCTCCCAATGCTGGTCATCCTCCGAAACAAGATTTACTCCTGAAAACTGCGACCGTGTGAGACCACGTCATCGGTTTTCCACGCGGAGAGAAGCCAGCCGGCGCGCTGTCGCGCATCAGCAACGCCGACGACACACGCTTCTCCCGTTGTGATCGCCGTAACGCGGCCTCCGCAGTCGAGTGAATTCCGTGGGTCTGAGAGTCGGTTGGCTTCGATCGATTGTGGGTTTGGGTACGGATTTTTACAAATGTGACGAAGCAAAGCTGTGTAAATGTTAATAATAATTCATAAACACCAACATTACAAGCAAACTATAAAAATTATGTTCACACACTCGGACAGAAAAAAAAATGGCAACTTGATGATAGTGTTTTTTTTTTATTTTTGGACATTGATTGCTGGAGCGATAATTAATGAGTGGTGACTTGGCTGAGCGGTCGCACATCTGGTGCTTGTTGCATAGGCTCGTGGTTCGAACACCCCACGGCCACCCTGGTTAATACTGCAGGCGCATTGACTGAATGCACGCCGTCTGCTTCACGTTCGGGGAAAAAAGGTGTGCTGGCATCATGGTCCAAATTTGAAAAACTACTTAAAATTACTCAATTGGGAGAACACTGTCGTTTTTTTTTTAAAGTTGGTGCTTAATTTCCAAATGTACTATACAGGTGAGCACCTCCTCATGCTGGCAACCTTGACTGCATCCCACGTGTGTTGTTAAAGAAGAGCTGCCTGTTCAACACTTGGGGCTTCTGTCAAATCTGCCAGTTGGACTTCAGCGGAGTGGAATGCATTTGTAAAGTGTATGCGGGGTAAATAAAGTCCATACCTGTCATCTCCTTATCAGTGCCCGACCATATTACACACCAACTCAGACCTTATTGGTCACTCCGTACCCCTTATAAATCTCAACGTTCATCCTACAAAGTCCCATCACAAGGTAGAAACACAAACACACACAGACAATTATTTTTGTTGTGCCCGTATTGAAACTGCTGTACGTCGTATGGACCTGAAAACTCAATTTCCCTGTACAAGAATACGGGGTAAACCGTGTGGGTTGACAGGTATGAAAGTCCAAACTGTGGGTGTATATTTGTCAACACCATTGTTTTTAAATTATGTGAGAACAGAAGGGAAATCGTGTAATGTATAAGAATTGAAGACCCGGCCACATTGATACTCTTTTGTAGCCAATTGGCGTGTTTTGGGGTCATTGAAAAATCTGTGAAAACAAAAGCGGTTTACAGCCACATTTATCAATCGTACTGTGTAATTGCCAAAATAACGTTTTGCTGCATGCATTATTTATAAAGCAGGCTTGCGTAAACATGTGTCTTCTCATAGCAGTCTCCTTTAGAATGTAGATCTTTTCAACTGGTTGCAGTTTACATTTGAATTAACTTTATTGCGTGTTCTTGTTGCCATAATAATACAAGTATGCCGTCACGTTAATAATGCCAGGTTAAAAATTGCCGAACAATGTCCCCGTCTTTTCCTGTGTTGGTATTTGACATGCGTCTGCTATATACATCGATTACTTTTTTCAAGAAGGGTTGCCGCGTATGGTGATGCTACCATGTAAGTGAAATCCACGTTAATCGTATAGCCCGTTTTGCTAAAACATCGTTTAATATTTGTGATTGTTTATATTTTATTTACCGATGAAATACAGATTACAAAAGCACAACACTGCAATTGAGGTGCAGAAGAAATAGCTGTTACCTATTAAATAATTACTTTGCTAAATGTTGAGCAGAGTAATTGGCAATTATATGACCTCGTTATTATCGTAGCTAATTTCGTTACTTCCTACGTAACTGACGGCCACGTAAGATTGTAAGATTTAAGCGATTAGAAGACTCGTGGCGGCGGGCCTCTGTTGAGCAAACTGCTGTTCGTGAATGTTGAAGCAAATCTTTATTTGTACTGGGAAGCATAGCGAAGCACCAACACGATAAATAAACTTGTAAAACACAATTACAAAATAATAGGACAATTATATGTACCCAAAGAGTGACCAACGCAGACGTCAGAAACAGGTTGCACATGGACGGAGGACTTGATGCTGCAGGCAGTGATGAGAAGGGGAAACGGGAATTATTCGGACACAGGATGGCCAACAGGAAAATGAAAAGTGGTGTTGTTCGGGAGAAATGGAAGGAACAGGAAAGAGAGGAAGACCTCCGAGAGAATGGCTTGACGGCAACGGAGATTGGTGTCAGAAAGATGTTGCACTACTTGAGCATTTAGGTACAAGACAGAGGAGTTTGAAAACATAACGAAATGTGCAGTGGACACCTTACGGGGCTATCTGCCCATGGATCGTGATGATAATGTGGCGATAAACAGTCGTCATTAAAATGAACATCTTATCTTGGGACGTTATATCGGCAGCCCTAATTAAAAGCCGTTGTTCGTGTGACCTGTTTCTCTTTGCGCATTTTCATCAATTGCATGTTGTGTGACTCCCGTGAAGGCACGGGACAATTATGTATGTTGATCCCTTCTGGATCTACAACAGCGGAGCCAGACGTAACAAAAGGGGACACGGCCCGGCCTGTTTGTTAACCGTGCATCCAATTAAAATCGATTGTGACGTGCAAGATACCCGCGTTGATTTGTGTGAGCAATAATATACCGGACTGTTTTCTATTTGTACATGGCTGTAATTTGTTCACGTAAGCTTTGCTTATGTGTGTCCATATTTTGTTAGGCCTGCCCTCCGCTTTCATTCGCCCATAGGTCTCCCAGAGTTTTTCGGAAAGGCTGAGGAAGCAAGGGAGGCCGATACCAAGAGACCGTGGACCTTGCAACTCCAGGAATGTTAGGGCCACATTGGGACCCACAGCAGAACAACATCCCTTGAGGCAGAATCCCCCTCGAGTGGAGGCCCTTCCACCAGCAGTGGCGTGAGAAATTGAACGGCTGCACCTTACCCATTCCTTTACCCATCGATGGATCATCTTTGAAGTCCCGCGAATCGTGTTGAATGCAGTGGCAACTTAAAAAAATGTCCCACTGTCTTTACAGACAACACGGTAGAATGCGATGGCTATGTACGCTTGGATTACTTTAATGGGGTTTTGAATGGCTGGGCTGGTCATGAAGAAAAACAACTCCGTTGTACAGCCAATGTGAGATGCGTTCCATTGGGTAAAGTTTGTGTCTTAATGATCAATATTGGCTTTGGCCTATCAGAAAGACCACTGCCTGAGCTCTCCATTGAATTGGGTAGCAGAAGAGTAGGCGTCTGGTTATTCGTTCAAATAGCACCAATTTGCAGAGGAACCGATCGCAATGCAGAGCGGAGCATTCGGGGGGAGGGGGAGCCTTATGATGTCGCGCCCACACCGAAGGGCAGGGAGGTCTTAGCGCATCCCATTTGCCAGTCACAAGCTGCTATTTTCGAAGGACAATTGCCCGAAACGTCGCCTATTCTATATATTTTAAGGTCACGGTATTGTTGACACGGAATGTGTTGCGTTGCATGTTTAGTTAATTGTGCTTATGCACATCTGCCAACGCAACAGCAGCATCACTAAGATCATGTGAGTATTGATGATAGTTGCGTTTCATCGCTTGTGTCTGAGGTCGATGAACAACATTCTGGTCGTGCACGACAGACGCGTGCACGACACGGTCTGCCACACGCATCTAAGACAATCTCGACTGACCGATGCAAGTTCTGGATGGGCGATGCATTGATTTACTGTAACTAAAGCGTGTCGTTTTTTTATGTTTGGTGTTGGCCGTGAACGGGAATTTAATTCGGGTGGCCAGGTTCGTAGCTCGTTGCGCTAACCGATACAATACCACTCCCTACTATACATAAAATACATTCACACCTACACGATAACGTACACACAGATGTGTGTGTGTGTATACAGGCGTGTTCTATCTGTGGAGAGAGTGGAGAGTTTCCCATACCTGGGTAGTGTGCTTATGACCGGCTCCGGTTTAACAGCAGAGGTCTCACTCCGAATCAGTCGAGCGGCAATATCTTTTCATCGGTTGCGTAACGCTGTGTGGAAGCTACCTGGTCTGTCGCTCCGCACGAAACTTCAGGTCTTCTCGGCCACGGTCATTCCATCCCTTTATGCTTGCGAAACGTGGACCCCCTAATGGAGCATCTTCGCCGGTTAGAAACATTTTAGCTGGCCTGCCTACGATCTGTCCTGGGTTTAACTAGGCTGGATTGTGCGAGGAGCTCACAAATCCTTGAAAGATTTGGGCAAAGTCCCATCGGTGAGCTCCTCCGGCAGGCAAGGCTGCGTTGGCTGGGTCATGTAGCCCGCATGCCCAGCCACCGCATGCCTAAACAGCTTTTGTTCGGCGGGATCGAGGGGGCTAAACGGGCGCGGCACGGGCTAGAGAAGAGATGGAGTGATGTGATACAGGAGGACGTGGAGCTGAGTGGACTTGCCGATGACTGGTACCAGCGGTGTCAAGATCGGCCTCTGTGGAGGAAGCTCGTGAAGGACGCTACTGGGCAGTTGGAGGCAGTCGCCCTCCAACAAAAACGGAGGGCGAAGGAGCGACGCTCACAACAACGAGCAGAGCGCCGGGTGGCTAAAGCACAGCAGGATGGCACAGTAGGGGGCATAGGTGGTGCATCAGCCAGTCATCTCGGTCATCTCAGTCGACCCGTGGCACCTGGGTCTGCCCCGTGACCTGCCAGCGGGCGTTCGACACTTCACGTGGCCTCAAGGTGCACATGGCCTGGCACAAGCGTCGTGGTGACGTCACCGCCACTTAGTGGCGAATGGCGGTTGTTGTGTAAATCAGCTTTGTACGCAGCACACGTGGGAGTGTTTGTCAGACCCACGTGGCCATGCCGTGCACAAGTCGGGAACCCGCAAGACCAGCCAGGTGAGTTCTCTCGACGCTGGTGCCCCGCAGGCGTGACCACAACACACGTGACCACAACACACGCAACGCAGATGTAGAGTAGCAGCACACCCGGTTAGACTCGGGGCTGTGGTGTATCCGGAGACGTGCGCAGGTGGAGGTGGTGACCTTAGCAGGTGGATGATGGAGGTGTGAGATTCTAAACGCACGCGGCGCGGAACGCCGTGGGATTCAAGGAGGAGACAGAGTCAGGGCCACAACAACAACAATCCTGGGGATGCAGCGCCTGGAGGAGCCCTGGGCCCTGGAATCCGCCTCCATCGTGGAGTCGACGCCTCCCTGGGGCCGAAGTCGGTCTTGGGTCCGCCCTGAGGGACGCCCAGCGGCGTGACGGCCCCGGGTGGACAGGGACACGAGTCGGGACCCTCTTGACGAGCACCACGAGAGATGTTTTCAGCAACGGTGTCAAAGAACAACTTATTTAAAACGCGGTTTTAATTGATGTTTTAATGACAACGCTTTGATTCACGTTCCACGTTGGATGTTAATGTCATCAGAGCAGTCACGTTTGGCTTCTGCAAGTTGCGCATCGCCTTCCACTAATGTCTCAAGGGGTCTTGAGACATTAGTGGAAGGCGCCTTACAAATAAATGTTAATTATTGTTTATTTCATAGTGTCAAAAGGCACTGCTACGGAGCCTGTAGACTGTAGAGGCTGCATTTTGCGAAGACGGAGCGCCCGCCAACAGCGTTAAATGTCCGAGACCGTGAGCGTCACGGCGACGTGGATGAGGGCGAGAGGAGCCACGATCTCTAAAAGCCTCCTCGGTGCGAGCGTGCGAAGAGACAAATCGAATATTGGGGCCCTCCACCTGACCGATTGCCGCACACTGAGCGGGATCGATACAATTCATCTTGATTAATCGATCCACAAGACCATATATAGCCAAAGCCACCCTCTCGCTTTCTTCCATATATGGGGCGGGAGGGAGGGGGGCTGCTGGAAATCTCGGATCGGTGATTTTATCGCATTGCTGCGCCACGCGTCCACCAGGATTCACGCGAGATGCATTGTTGATAGATTCAACAAGTCAAAGAGTCTCCCACTTGTTCGCCATCATTGTCAACACGTTGCCTGGAATCTTCTCCAGGAGCCCTCCAGAGCCCTGAGCCACATTTCCCGTGGCGTTGTTGCAAATTCTCAGAAATGTAAAAAAAAAAACATTTTTTAAAGCGCCCTGTAAATCGTGACTCCTCTCGCCTAATCGCATCGTTCCGCTCACGGTCTCGAACATTTAACATCTCTTCTGGTCCAGGTTCTCCATCATCTCAGCGTTCCATCTCCGGCTGCCGGGAAGCTGCCACTTGAACACAGATGAACACCTTTACCGCTTTCTTTCACATATCGTGCAGTTGTGCAACATCCTCCAAGCCTTTCGCGGGGGGCTGATGGGGTCGTTCTTCCCTGCTACACCGCACACTTCGCCACTTTGTACAGCACAACCATCCCCGCTAGTCCACGTTTTATATTAACCACGCACACAAAAACCTCGTGTGGGACTTGAACCTGTGTTGCCAACTTCAAAAGCAGCAATGCGGCTATTAAATCACTATCGTTATTCAACATTGTTATTTCAGATTGTGATATATATCATATGATAATCGCGAGAGTTGACCTTGTTTTCATGATTCAATTGGCAAACACATTGTTCATGGATAAGTTGGAGTTGAACCTGGGAACTCCGTGACTCACAGCGCCACGTGCAAAAATGTAACTTTTAGCAAGCGCTCGAATCTGAGACTTGAACCCGAGAAGACTGCTTCATAGGCAGCCTTTGCTGTCCGCTACACCATGAAGGCCCAGTGGATGCTGGAACCGTTCTGGTTATTAAATCATTGTCATGTCAGTGTTGTATTATTTTATTAAATTATGTGAAACATGCCACTCCGAGCCTTTGGTCTGCATCCATTTTATAATAATAAGCGAGGTGGACACACACACACCCACCCACACACCAATGGCACACACACACCCACACACCAATGACACAAACACACACCAATGACACAGACACACCCACATCAATGGCACAGACACACACACTAATGACACAGACGTACCCACACACACCAATTACACAGAAACACCCACACACACCAATTACATAAACACACACACCAGTGGCACACACACACACACACCAATGACACACACACACACCAATGACACACACGCACACCAATGACACACACACACCAATGACACACACACACCAATGACACACACACACCAATGACACACACACACACCAATGACACACACACACACACCAATGACACACACACACCAATGACACACACACACCAATGACACACACACACACACCAATGACACACACACACACACACCAATAACACACACACACACACCAATGACACACACACCAATGACACACACACACCAATGACACACACACACCAATGACACACACACACACCAATGACACACACACCAATGACACACACACACACACACCAATGACACACACACACCAATGACACACACACACACCAATGACACACACACACACACCAATGACACACACACCAATGACACACACACACACACACACCAATGACACACACACACACACCAATGACACACACACACACACCAATGACACACACACACACCAATGACACACACACACAGACCAATGACACACACACACACACCAATGACACACACACACACCA